CTTATCGAAGTCCGAATACACTGGAAGTTTCCTATTAACGTAGTTCAATACAATTATACTTACAAGTCCTATTGGCGGGCGACGCATTCCAACGACAAGGATCTAGTGACAAGCTCCCTTGAAGAAAGACCAAGGAGGTCCCAATTTCAAATGTACGAGCAGTCTTCCGTGTCCAGTGACAAGCCCCCTTGAAGAAAGAACAAGGAGGTCCCCATTTCAAATATACCAGCAGTCTTTGTAAGTAATGTTATTATTACAATAATCACATACTCTGAGATTCAGAGATTATTACATCGACAAACAACTAAGAGCGAAGAAGCTCTCCGCAGAGCAACAGTGCGGAATAGATTCCAGTACGCGTCGTCAAGTCGGCGCCCGCAAAAAGGGCGTCTTTTCGGTAACCCTCACCTTAGTTCAAGTACGGACGCTTATGAAATTAAGCAACAAACAGCGCGAGTGTCAATGACATTTATATAAAAACATATTGACATTTTATATAAAAAATTATATAAAAATTAAAAAAATCTTATTCTACGAGCTTCTTATTTTCGTTATCATTATACTAACAGAAACTTTTATTATTTGCTTCTATAGTTTTATAGTGTATCAACTTTTTATAAACTTTGAAGAGTCACATTAAACATTTTTCTTTTTAATATGAACAAATATACATTATCATTAGATTCAGTATAATTTATTCCGTGTATCTTCTCTGATCTTACTTATATAAATCGCATTTTCTATATGTAATCATGTTGAAGCCTGTGAGCACTCTGAAAGTAAGGAACGTGTAAAGGGAATTGAGCGCCACTCCCTCTTTCATCATTATCCCTTCTTCCATAAGTACATGGTCAGTCTCTGTATTATTCTTAAATTCTTTAAATCTTTCGATCGATAACTAATATAATGTTACTATAGACTATTAGCTCATCATCAGTGCTAGATTTTCTGAAAAATTTTCTCAAAACTGCGATTTATGCATTTAAATAAATTATATACAATTACTAGTATAAAATATACATATCAAATTATGAAATAAAAATTCAATTAAGTATTAAATAAAACTTCATATTGATATTTTTTATTCGTATATAATACTTTCATTATGAAAAATGAAAGTATTTAATTTAATATATATTATTGATATAAATTATTGTTTTTGGTAATCTCCATCAAAATATTCAGCCTCGAATTATTGTTTCAAAATAATTTAATGGATTATAATACATATTTCTTTAATTACATTATTTTATAACTTTTTGTTTACTTATTTATTTTATAAATTTTTTCAGCAATAAGAATAGTTTTAATAATAAATTAAGTTTAATAATAAAGATTGAAAAATTTTAAATTAACACTTTTTCTTTCTTTAATTTTTATGTATTTACAATTTATATATTCTTATAATTATAAAATTAATTATGACCATTACGCATTTTCAGTTAAGATTTTTAAAGTAAAAAAATTAATCAATTTATATATTGTTATCGATGGGTTAATATGATCATATTAAAAAATTACCTAAAAAAATTACAAAAAGGAAATGTTAAAAACTTAGTACTTTGGATTATATAAAAAAATTTATGTTAAGTAAAGAATTAAAAATTTCCTTATTTTATAAAGTTTTCACACACTTCTTCTTAGTCTTTTTATGAATATCTTTTTTTAACATTATTTTTATACCATCCAAAAGTATTGAAAATTAAAAAGGAAAAATAATTCGAATGTTTTCTTTCATTAAATTTTTGCTTTAAAATAAGTATTACATTACAGGATTAAACATTTTTTGTAAACTCATATTTTTTACTTTTAAAGTAAATTCAGTTAAAAAATTTTATATCAAAACTGATTACTTATGACATTTAATTTCAAAACTAAATTAAGAATATTTGCATTATAAATGTTTAATTTTATTTACAATATAAAAGTTAACTTCGTTTAAAATTAATAATTAATAATTTCTTGTATTTTTTTAATGTATAACATTTATAATAGAAATTTAATAAATTTCTATTAATATTCTACTCGTGTAAATTAGACTGAAGTATATTTACTAGCCTTCAATATTATTTTAAACACATAAATAAACAAACTATTTTTTATATTTATGTTATATAAATTTTCTGATAAAATTATTTTACCTGTTAAAATCATTTATATTCGTTTTTATAAAATTAACATAATACATTGTTATATATATTAACAATTACACTTTCAAAAACCATGAATTTTTTACGTTTCAATGAATACAATCAAGTGTTATAATAATAGATTTTAAAAATAATTAAGTTAATACTTAAGTTTAAATAATAATGAATTAACCAGGTAATTTTAATATATTATGATACTAAAATAATATTGACATATTTTAGGTTTAATTTTATACTTAATGTTGAAACATTTAAAATCAAAATATGTTGAATACATTACTTTTTTATTTTACACTAATGCTGACAGAACACAAATATAAGTGAATATATTCGAAATTGTATATAAAAAAATTTTTTAAAAAACGTGATAATAATTAACATACAAATAAAATTTTAAACACGAAATAAATATTATGAAATTAGTGCTAAATAAATCATTTTAAATACCTAAAAATGAAAGAAGGCAGAAATGTTCATATGTAATAATTTTATATTTTTTTATAATGCAGTTAAAATATTTTTATTATTTAAAATATATTTTTAATTAAGGTTCTGATAATGTGACTCACATTTATAATATATATATATATATATATATATATATATATATATATATATATATAATGTTTAAACATATTTTATAATATACATACAAAAATAATAAAAAAATTGTTTTGTTTATACTTTTAAGTAAATTAAAACATTTCTTTGCAAAAGGTTAAGATTTTTCCAGAATGTATTTATAAATATTTTCACAAATTAGTTTTTATTTCGATTATAAGAATCATAGCATATATTATTCAGTTTATAATTATTATTTATCTTTAGTACGACATGCACTTTACTGAAACAATATATTTAGTATAATCAAAGTAAGAGTTGTTTTTTTGGATTTAATAATTCTTTGTAGTTAGGTATTATGCAACATTAGCTTAAGAATTTTTTAACACAGAAATGTAAAATGTTAGATAAAAATTTATGGGATAGAAAATTACAGTATCGCTAATAAAAGTCGATTAAAATTACATATTAAAATTTTTATGAAATTATGAATATATAATTTGAAGATATTTGAATATTTAAAATGTAATAATAGTCGGTTACATATAAATAAATATAATTAAAAATCTTGCCAGAACAACCTTTAGGAACCCAATACTTTAATTGTATTATGAATTATTTTGCTTTGAACTAACTGTTAATTTTTATGTTATACATTAATTATACATTTATATATATCTGAAGTAAATGTTTTGTTAAAGCTTTCCAAATTACAGTTTCCCAAAAATTTATAGAAAATAAATACAAATAATATTAAATGAGCAGCATTACTTTGCAAGTTTTTCATCTAAAATTTTTTTGTCTAGTTAAAATAGTGCTAACATATTTATATTAGAGTTTAAAGTACACAAAAAACTATATTTATAATTAATAAAAAATTATTTTTTATCGATTATTTTACAAATTGCCTTTAAAAAAGATGCTTTTGAATATTAAGCATATGGTATAATAATTTTGTTTGTATAACATCAAACACAAATAATTGTATTTTAAAAGTTTATTTTAATTTATTAATTTTTTATAACTTCAAATTATTTAATATAATAATATAAATATGTATATAATGTATAAATAATAATATAATAAAAATATTAATTAAATAATATTTATCAAATATTTATTAGTCTAACTAGATCTGAGAACATCTAAAGGTAGGTAAAACAAATAGGCTTTCGAGTTTTCAAACAATAAAGAATGAAGTTTTAAAAGTATATAGATAATAACTATATAGCTATAAATGTAAATTCTTCACTTTAAACACTAAGATATTTAGCCTGTTTTTTGTATAAAATAATTTTATCAAACCGAGCTTATTAATTTTTTAATAATGATATTGCAAGTAATATATATAATTCTAAGATATAAATGAACCAGGTATATTTATTATTTTTATAATAATTTAAAAAGCAAATTCTTGATATCATTTTTAATATTGACAGAATTAGAATATCCGTATTTAATATTATGCATGTGTACTATTAAAATTCTTTTTCATATTTTTAAGTCCTCATATTTTCTAATCCTTACAAATTTAAATCTAAAGTTCGAATTGTTTTAGTTACACATTCATAGTAATTCTAGTTACAAATATCCAATGTTGTGAAAAGCTACCATACATTACATTTATTTATCAGATTCAATTAATTTTTATTTTGGAAACTTTTAGTTTTATTTGTACTTTAGTGATAAATTATTATTATATGTAAAATACGTACTATTGAAAGTAAAGTTTAAAGTTAATATTGAAAATGAACAAAAGTGAAACAGATTATAATTATTTAGTAATATTATTTAGTCACTGCATATTTTAAATATTAAAATATTTGCAATTTCCATTGACTTTGAATTTGAGAAGTTATAAAGAAATAATACGTTTTAAATTGTTATTCTAGTTTTACTGTTATCAAATATAATATTGTATTGTTGAATAATATTTGTAATCTTTAAAAAAATGTTTACAGTTTTTATATTTTTACAACAATATGTTGTTGTATATGAACTTTTATTGTTTTTTCAATTTATATTGTTTTTTTTTTTATTTTTTCATCAAGTTTATATTTGAACATAATTATTAAAAAATGAGTGATATCGTTCTAGTGACAAACAATATATTTGTTTTTAATTTTTATAATGCTTAATTTTTGAACATATATATATTGGAACTTACGGTAACTTTATTTCATTAGCATCTGCAAAATAGAACAAAATATAGGATGAAATATGAAGATTCAATTTTCCAATAGAATTATATCATAAATTTCATTCTAAATATATGAACATTGCTAGTTTACATCAGTAAGTTTTGTATTCACAAATAGATTGAGATGTATCGTCGTGTTGCGCTGTTTTAAGCGGCTTGTCACTGAACTAACCCTAAAAAGCAGTATTAAAGATTCCGAATCAGCAATCAAATGTACCAACAGTAGTAACGCAAACGTCATTGGACTATACATAAATTGTTTTTCTGTATTTTTAAATATTCTTCTTCATCCATGTATCCAGGCTTATATAATAGTGCGTTGTTTCTATTTTTTTCTTACTTCATTTTATATGCACAACAGCGTAACTGTGATCTGCATTATAACCGCTCGGTAAGATATAATCATTAAAATTTAAGATAAACTGATGTTTGTAGGTTAGAGCACAAGAAATAAAACATATATGCAGCAGTAACATAAACAACCAAAGAATGCAGTAATTGATTTTCAATTTTTTCGCCAATAGTGTACCTGCCAATGCTAATCAATTGCAATGATAGCCGAAGGTTGATTTAAACAAAATTTAAGTAGTTGCATAAATTAACTATTAAGCAACTATAATAATAATTTATGCGTAACAACCATTGTATCAAATAATTTTACTACCTTCACTAAAATTTGCCAATTAAAAATTACGATGAAAATAATGGAATATTTTAATTCAACTTTATTACTTTCTTTAAATAATTAATTTTAAAGCATATCATTGTAGTCTATGATAATTTGGCAGTAATAATCTATGATATATTTATTAAATATATGAAATATTTTTTAATAAATTTATTATGTGAATCTTTTTCTCTAGTCTCGCAATTAAAAAAAAATATAAAAAATACAATTATAAAATAATTTGATAGAATCGTATTTTACGTAATAAAATAATTTACAATAAAATATATTTATTAATTTTTTTTAAAAATATATATAATTTTTGTTTCATAAATTTTATCTCTTTAATAACTTTACAATCATGGCATTTTTTTTTAAATTTAAATTTAAGTTATGCACCTTTTAAAATTTCAATATAATATTCTAATATTTTGCAAACATATATTATTTTTTTTTTATTCGAATAAAATTATTACACTATATAAAAATGTATAATAAACATTATTTATAAACTGATTTGTACAGAATTTTGTATTGTAACAAATATGTATAATAGCAATATTGATTTTCATACCAAAAATGTAAAGTGAAATGGTCTGATCTAACTTCAATATTATAAAAACATAACAATGATTAGAATCATTAAAATATTAGAATTTCAAAATATAATTAAAATTTTTTATTAAACATTTTTAAAGTTGTCAAATATATTACATAAATAAATATATTAGCATATTTTTTAACTTAATATAAATTGTTAAAAATGAATTTTTAATATATTATATATTTGATAAAGACAACAAATTTATTTTTCAATTTATCATAAAATATTTTAATAAAACATACTTTAAAAATTTTTTCATTGTCTGGAATAATATTACTGAATTAAACATCTACATTGGTAATATAATAATCACTAGACAATAAATTTTTATTGTAACTTATTTAATTTAAAAAATAAAAAAATAATTTATAATAAATGTACATATAAATAAAAATAATCATTACAGTAAATGCTATGGTATTATAAAATAAAATAATATATTTTAGATATATTTTATAATTATAAATAATGATTAGTAATTCATAAGTCATTTAATTTATGAATTTAAAAATAAATGTACACTCAATAGCATCTACATTTATTATTTTTCTTAAAATCCGATTTAACTTCTTTTAATTAAAAATGCATTCACATATGCGATAATATTCTAAAAACATATTTTAGACTGTAATTCAATTTTTATTATAAATTTCTATAAAAGTTAGTTTTTAAAATAAATAAATACTTTCTGTAAAACTCAAGTTACATCGATATTAATTCTCTATCTTAATTTTTATAATTATATAGAAATGTCTTACAAGAATTATTTAAATTTACAGTTTGATCACTATTTTTAAAAAATTAATTTTTTTCTAAAAATTGGTAAATTTTGAAGTTACATCAATTTAAATATATTTGAAGAAGTACATTATTTTTTAGAGGTACATGCAACAGTACAATTAACCAGAAGCAAGTTATGTATTATATAAATCGATTTAAAATTTGCAGTAAACTGCAATTAGTAATTATAAGTAAGAAAGGTGGGTGTAAGAGTTTATGAAAACATACATACACATGCAGAGTTAACCTAGATTTAAAATAAGAATCGCAGATGAAATTGAGAACACAAATTTATCTTGAGTTTTAGGCAAGAGCATTGTATAATTATACACACAGCTTTTTATACTCGAATTACACTTTGGAATATGAATTTTGAAGGTGTTTAATTTTACCAACGTATTATAATCAGTAAAAAAATTTTAATAAAAATAATTTTATAATACTGATTTTATATATTTAAAAGAAACGTATATAATTTTTATAATTTATTATTATTCATCAATTACATTGTTCATGGATAAAATACTGTTGATGAAGCACTCATAATGTATATATTTCCTATAAGTCGAATGCATTTAAATTATTACTTTTTATATAGGTATTATTGGATACTATAGTATTATTTATTTTTTTAGTATATAATATGATAAATAATAAATAATACAATATGATAGTAAAGACTATTTATATCGACAAGTAAAACTATAATTGTGATATTTTTATATGGCGAAGAATGTATTATTACAAATGATTTTTATAGCTAATATTGATATGAATTTTACAAGATGAAATACATGAAAACAAAACTTTAGTTTTTACAATTATATATTATTTTTTATTTAATGATAGAAAAAGTAGTTTGAATCACAAAATTTTATAAGTAGCACAAAATTTTATAGTAATATAATCTTTTATAGCTGAACGTAAAACTACATGTTTTAAAAGTAGGTATTTAAGATAATTTAATAGATATTGAAAAATTTTTTATTTTTTATATAAATTAATATAAAACATATCTAATTTACATCAGATTGATATTATTAATGCAATTTTATTTTTCGACTAATTGCTTGTTAACATATCAAAACTATTGAACTCCGCTCTTTACTTTCTACAATGCCAATAATTCCTAATATATAGATGTGATCAAACAAATCTTAAACACTTTTCATTGTTCCCAAATCTCATGCTGAAATTTATAACCGAACGAATATTTTAATAATGTAATATGAAGACTCAACATTCTATAATATTTTTTAAAACTCTTTTATTATATGTATAAATAGTAAAGATTTAAAAAATTCTATGAAATAATTTAAATAAAATAATGTATATTTAATGATTGTAATGTCAATTTTTTAAATAAATTGATGATTTTACGATGTACATTATAACTTCAGATTTTTTCAAGAAATCTTCATATTATAAACATTTTTATCAAATTTATAAAATTATTTTTTTGAAACATATTATTTGTTTTTAATGATAAACGGATATTTTTTAACTTAATAAATATTTATTGTATACAAATTAGCCAGACCTTGATGTAGGTGGAAATAATTTAAATAAGTTTTGCGACACTCGTGTATATATTTTTTTCTAGATGAACGTAAGAAAAAATTTATCGAATGTTTTTATAGATGATTGTTTTTATATTAGATTTTTTAATATATATAAATATAATATTTAAACATAGAAACATAAAAAAATTAAAATATTAGACAAAAAATATGAACAATTATATTTTTAATAATTTTATAATTTATACTTTATAATTTAATCATAAGCAACATTACAAATAATACATATAAATATATATCTCAAACTCAAAGAACTCTCTATTTTAAAAAATTTTTTAAGAAGTTTTAATTAAAGATTTTAAGTATCTATTTATTTATATTAATGAAAATTTTATTTTTCGTTAATAAATAATTTTTAAAAAATGGAAAAAGAATAATATTTTTTTAAATTTAAAAATTTTTTTAATTTTATTAATACATTCCTATATATAACCAAAAATATTCGTTACGTTTAAGCTCTATAAAGTATAATTATATTTTTAAAAATTAATTTTAATATATAATTTTGTATCAATGTTTTTTTTACAGATTTAATGATTATTATTGATGCATTATTGATTTATTTGGAGTAAGACTTTATATTGTTAAGGATCATGGCATTAGTAATGTTACCTTGCGATTTACCTTGGTGGTCTACGGTAACAAAACAATTGGATAAAGCGGCAGCAGCCAAGAACTCGGAAGATTTGGTTGATGCTATGCAGCGAGTGCATGATATGTGCAAGTATGAGATTTCGTTCAACTGTTTTACTTGTTTTTGAATAAATATATTTTAAAAATATTTTTATTTTGAATCAAATTCGAATAATCTTAAATTTAATTTTATAAAACTATTTCTTTTTTATTACATAATTATGTATATTTATATTTGTCACGATTATTTAATTCTTATAATTTGGTAATTTTCCTTTTAAATTGAAAGTAAATAATTTATAATTATAAGATATTTATACTTATAATCTCTATTAATCAATAAAAAACTACAATTTAAATGAAATATTAATTTGTTACAACACAATAATAATATAAATTATATTGGAAAAATTGTATTGAAAGAAATTACATTCAAAATTTTAAATAATTAATACAATTGCAATATCTTTGAAATTTATTGTGAAATTACGAAGAATAAATGTATAATATAATTTAAAATAATGAACTGAACAATTAAAAACAATTAAAAACAATATATGTTGAAAATGTTTTATAATATTTTAAAAGTAACTTACTAACATTTTTTTACTAACATTTACTTATTAACATTTTTATTTTATCAATTTAAACTTCAGTCATCTTTTAGTATGTTAATGTTATCGAAACTTTATCATATTAATAAACGTACTATTTATGTTCACCTTATTATTTACATTTGACATATTATTTTATATATTCTAATAAATGAAAAATCAGCTATATTTCATTACCATTATTTAAACGATAAAAAAATTAAGCTTTGTACTTTTAAATGTAGAAGAATTGCTTATATTTATTTCAAATATAACTGTAAATATATGAATATATTATTTAATAACTTCCAATATTATTAATTAATTAATAACAATAACCTTTATATATATGTATATGCATTTTTTAAATTGACCATTTCGATTAATCGAAATTAAGAATAAATTTTTATTTAACAAATTAATATAAACTTTACGTGAATTTCAAATACTTATTTTTTTAGAATGAAGTAAATATCTTAAATAAAAAATTAAGAGAAACTAATAATTGCATAAGTATAATTTATATATATATATATATATATAAGGTCAAATATATCAAAAAGAAATAAAACAGAGCTTCCAAGGAGATTGCATTTTAGATCTTTAAAGTTCCTTGCAGTTAGTTGTAATTATCAGATTTATGGTAATATTATTACGACAGTTATTTGATGAAAAAATTTATTTTTACTTTAAACTATACTTACCATGTCATTAAGATTACATTCTCAAATAGTTATGATTAAATCAAATATTTTAATGTTATTTTGTTTGTTTGAGTTAATTAACAAATAAAAAGTGATTATATTTGCGTCTATACATATTTTCATAATTTCGAATAGTAAAATCTTTAAAATAAGAGTACATTATTTCCAATTAATGAGGCATATAAAAGTAAAATTTTAGAAAAATTATTTGATTAAATTAATTTGATAGTAAACAATTTTCTAATATATTTCCTAATATTTTTCAATTATTTTTATATGAATGTATTAAAATGTTGAAATATTTAAATATTAAGTATCATTTTGTTTTAATTTTCATAAATATTTAAAATTTCTTGTATTTTTAGAAGTATATAAATTCACATAGGAATAAACGATTATTAAAAGTATTTTAAATATTTATAATGAAAGATATCATGAAGTTTATTATACATTATTATTCATTAAAAGTAATATTTTAAATGCATTTGCACACGAATTTACATAAAATTAAATAATTAAATTGTAATAAACACATTTAGTATTCGAGAGAAAATTTAAATTGATAACTATTCAGTGTTTTGAACTTAATCCGTTAAAAAATGAAAAGGTAATTTATAGAAGAAAACAATACATTTTCGAATTCTCAAAAAAGGATCTTTTAATTTTCTATAAATCTATGAATTTAATAGAATATGATATTTAATTATACAATGATAAACGTTTATGTGTAAATATACATGTTCTGCATTTTCCAGTATTTAATAAAATATTTGATACCAGTTCTTTTATAATTCAAAGATTATATTTATATATATATTATAGCCGCTTTAATAAAGTTACATCTATTGTGCAAACTGAAAAGAATAACGTAAAATATTTATGAAAATATGTCCATATAGAAATATTAAATTTTTATCATTAGCAATTTTGAATTATTCTATTTCTTATAATAAAGAATTATAAATCCAAACAATATATATTTTGAAATTATTTAGATAAATTCCGTTTTAATAAATAAAAACTCTTTGTAAAAATTAATTTTTAAACTTTCTTAATATATTTAATAAAATTATTATTTTAATAGCCTTCATATAAATAATAAAACATAATAAATTATTATGATTAAATAATTAAATAAATTATTGAAATTAAAAATATATCGAATAAGATTTTAAGATGTAAAGAATAATATAATTTATGTAATAGAATTAAGGACATTTAAGAATTACACTCTCTATAAACATTAATCTTAAATTATTATAAAAAGAAAATAAGACTCTGTGTGACTATAATATAGTATTAGTTTGGATCCCGAAGAAGACTTAAAAGAACCAGATCTATTTATTGGCCTTGTGAATTATCTTGAAAAAGAATTGAATTCTACTGAGCGTAATCACATTTTTACGAAAACAATACCTTACATGGTAAATCGCGCGAAGATCTTGAAAATACACAAGCCTCCACAAGGGCTTTATTTTAGTTTGCAACAACAAGGTATTTATACGTAGGATAAATTTTATGATTCTTAAATGACTGATTAAAATTTTCATAATTTAATATTTTAATTTTTGTTTTAGGTGACACTATTGAACACAGTTATGCATTTGTGGCATCGCTTATCGCGAATGCTTTTTTCTCTACATATCCAAAACGAACCCCAAAAACTCATCCTACTTTAATGGACTTTAATTTTACAAACTTTTTTAAATATCTTCATTTGTGAGTATATTTTTGTTCATTTGGTTTGCATTGCAAATTACATTCTTACATTAAATACTTTTTTTATTTCTTTTAATATTTAATTAATTCTTATTTTATTATTATATTAGTTCTTAATTTAAAGATCCATTGCTTTATAAATAATTAATATTTCCATAAATTTTTACTTATAAAAATGTATATTTCCCGAATATTATACAGTAGTTGCCTGCACATAATATCATACTTATTTTCTTGATATCTAGTTTTCAAAATTTTGATAAATTTACCGATATTTGATATAACAGTATAGTAGCAAGTAATAAATTATAAAACTTATAAAGATATTTATACTAAAATTTTGATATAATTGAAAAAATTATTATTTATTAATGCTGTTTATTAACTAGTTATCATTTAAAACTATAATAGTATTTTATGAATGATATAGAATAATAATATAAGAAAAACAGTTAAATATTAATGTCTAATCTTTTATCATAAACTATTTGAATAAATATGCTATTCTTCTATTTGTTTTTAATTCATCAATTTTAATAAAGACAAAAAAATATCATCATAATCATATTCTGTAATTACACCTAATTTTAAGTTGAAATACTATAAGTGTTTTACCTAAAAATAAATATTTTAATTAAACTACGATTTTAATTGTTGAAAAATTAAAATAAAGTAAAAAATTAAATATATAATAATTTTTAGAACATAATATTAGAAAGTAATTTATCTTGCAATAAACGATATTGAATTCTGAAATTAAAAAAAAAAATTAGTAAAAATGAACTTTGATTAAGCTTATCAATATCAAGACTTACCAAATGCATGTACCAAATGTATAATATGATCCATTGATATATCTGTACAGATAGTTTAGTTGCCTACCCGGTGCCAAAATTATTTTTAAAATATAACTCATTTAAAATGTGTTTATTAATCCATTTTATAGAAAAAGCCAAAGGGCAAAGTTGCGTGGTTTGTTCCAGTACTTCGATTACCTTGAATATGAGGGCGAACGTGCTCTCGAAGGTCATCTTCTAATCTCTCGACAGGTGATGCTCTCAAAGCAGTGGTTAACCATTGAAGATTGGCTCGAGTGTAGCATGCCACTTTGTCCATTATCTATCAGACACGAAGGTAGACTAGAACGTGCGAAACAGGCCGGAAATACAGTAATGCAGGTGTGCTTTGCGAGTCGAAACCTAGGTAATGGTGTCCTCGAAGATAGTGTCACACAAGAGACTATTCAAGTAAGTAAGTACAAAGTGATCTTGTTTTTATATCTTTTTTATTTTGTTGTTGTTTATTTCAGTATTTGGTTTTTTTTCTCAAATAGTTATATATATACTTTTGATAAAACATTAAAAACATTGAATACTTAGATACAATTATACAAATTTATCATTAAATTATCTGATTACGGTATACCTAAGTTTGATACTGATATTTAAGTATTTTGATTATTAATTTTTATTTTCATTGTTAAAAAAATGGTGTATATTAAATTTATTTATTATTTTAATCATTATTGTTTAAAAATATTTATTAAATTAAATAAATTCTAAATTATAATTATCTAAATTGACATAATATATATTTTTATTATTTTTTTTTAATTTCAATATAGTTTACTTCTAAATAAATAAGATTATTTTTCATTATCTGAATTGGCTAAATTATCAAAAAAAAATTTAGTTATTTATAATAAGGAATGGCGCACTTTTATTATCCCATATCTATGGATCTTTCAAAATTATAATACGTATTCTAATAGAAAATGTAATAATCTATCATTGAGATTGAAAGTAGAGAATTAATAATTGTGATTTAATTTATTTATACGTATTCAATTTTTAATAGAATCTTCCATATTTAATTTTTTCTTTGCGAAAAATTTCAGTATAATTCCATATAATATATACAACACAGATACCTATTTTACAATTCTATATACATTAAAATTTATTACTGAAAATTATATGATTTTAAGATAATTTAAAATTATTTATATGGATTATTAAATTTAATCTATGCAAATATTTCCACAATTCTGATAAAGTTTAATTATTATTTATGTATGTTTATTTATGTACATTAGAATATTATATTTCAAAAATAAATAATTACAAATTTATTCCGTTATAAACATCATATATATATATATATATATATATATATATATATATATATATAAATAATATATATAAATAATATACATATAACGAAAAAAATTTTTAATCGATCAAATACAACTCAATCAGTATTCAAACTCTCGAATAAAATATGAAATAATTAAAATTTCTAGAACAAAATACCAATGATTTTTAATATTTGCTATATAAATAAATTAAAAAATATGAATAGATGTATAATTTGCATCGATAATGTGTATATTAATGATATACTATAATTTATTCTAATTTAAGTATCGAAGTGAAATTTTTAAGATATAAAAATGAATAATTAAACTCCTGATTATACTCCTGAGTTTTGTTTTTTATTTATTTAAATACATAATATAATTTTCATAGATAGCAACACATCCTGAATTATTAGCAATAATACTTTCTGTAGAAGCATTGGAAGATAATGAGGCATTAATAGTTGAAGGCTTACGACATATCTCTAGAATACAAGATCCAAAACATCGAGCTACTTTTGAGATTATTCCAGAACCAAATTCAGTAAGCTTAAAAATTTAAATAATTGTAATTAATAGTAATTCATTAATTTTAAAACAGTTTGACAATTATTCTTTACTTTTTCTATAATTCATTCTAAAGTATACATTTATTCATAATTCTATATAAGTAGTCATTCTGTTCACAATATAAAAAATTAATCACTTTTATTGAATCTAATCAATTCATATAATTAAGTCTGATACCGATTGAAATAAAAAATTTCTTAAATGAATAATTACTAATACTCATTCATTACTATTACATAAATTTTGTTATAAATAGTTATTTGAACGTACATTCTTAAATGCGTGTATTATGCATTTTAATTTAAAAAGATGTATATTGAGTTTAAAATGCATCGTATAGATCACGATTTGCTGCATAGATGCAGAAGACTACTCACAACTACCACTTGCTCAATACGAAGAAGACAATGTTTTACGCGAGTTAAATAAGTCACTTCTGGGCTTCAGGCAACGCAGACCGTTACAGAATTTAATTGATTACTCAGCATCAATTGGGTCAAAACAAGATGTAGAGCAAGAAACTGTATTTGGTATAAAAAGATTATCTCCTATTGGTGAGAGTTGCAGCAGCGTATCTCCTGAGATTGAAAATATATCGAATAAAAGGGAAGTTACAATCAATAATACCAATAATCAAGGTACTCCTTAATTTCTATAATTATTATTGAGGACAATTTTTGATAATGAACATGTACTAAATAAAGTTCAACTACAAATTTTATGCATATACATTTGTATGTATATATGCACATATTTATGTTTTCTGATATATTTTTATAAGTTATAAAAGTTAATTTTGAAAATTTTTTCGATGGAAATAATATTTAAATCTACTTCTAAAATAATAATTTAATCAATAGAAGTAAATTTATTCTTAGAATCTCTTATTATTTTTTCAATTTATGACTTGTTAGAGTTATAATAACAAATTTTAAAGATAGTTATCAGAATCAAAACTATGTGACCAAGAACCATGCTGAAATTTGTTTTTATTTTTCTTCTCAATATTACAAAAAAAAAATTGATGAAATAGCGAACTTCTCCATAAAGATTAATTCAATACTATTAGATTTATTAATGTTTTATTTGATTTTTTTGTCAGTCTAATTTTTCTTTTCTTTTTTAACGGCTACTTCATGTACATTTCTTTGTATCATCGTGTATTAATTATTTTATTGTACTGTTTCATTGTGTGCTAGTGAGGTATCAAAAACATTTACAAAAAAATTATATGTTATCGAAACTGTTTATATAGTTCTTACAAATCTTAAGTCATAGAAATATTCAAGACAATACTTCAATTTATTTTATAATTTCTTTATTTAAGTTAGTTTACATTGATGGAAGTTTCTTTAAAAGATTTTTATTCATTTTCGTTTTAGTTCAATTCTGAGTATATGACATTCTTTTTCTGAATTTTGTTTTTAAATAGCTAAAATGAAAAGTTATATCTGTTTCTTTATTTGTTTATTATATATCTACAATATTTATTTTTCATTTTTAGTTATTGAACGATTAATTTTAGTCTTTTGTTAATTATTTTGTTATTTATATAGTTTTTGATATTACTCTATAACTTTTCAAACTTTACTCCATGAATTAAAAATTGTCTGTATATCTAGATTTCTATGCTTTTATTTTATAACTATTTAAATCTTGCTTGACAGTATTCATTTTAAAATTCAAAATAATTGAATAATTTCCACTTTTATATTTCTACTTTTCAATGATTCTGTATTCTCGCTGTGTTTCATTTAATTATCTTTTGTTGGTTGTATTTCAAATATATATGAATAACTGTTAGTTTATTTGTAATTAAGACTTTAATTTTCTGTGACAGTATATATTATGTATATACTATGTAATATTATGAGACTGAATATATTACGTTAAATTATATTAATTTTTTAAATTATTTTAAATATTATTTTATAATCACAATTACATGTTTAGTATATATCTAATCATAATATATTGATTAATTTGCAACTACAAATAGTATTTATATTTATATATATTTTAGTAAAATTAATAAGTAAATGACAATTTTTTTCTTGATATAATAAATAAAAATTTTCTATTAATAAATAATAATTTAAACGTTTAGAAACAGAGAATTATGAAATATATATCTGAAAAAGAATTTACGAGACATGATAATCTATGATTTTTATTTTATATAATATCTCATAGAATCGGGAAGACAGTCAATCACAACAGAAATAATAAGAGAAAACGGGTCATCAAATCATGTTATGAGTCCAGGCAGAATTATAAAAATTAGCAGCGTAGGAAGACGCAATAACTTTATAGTCTTAGGTTCAAGCGGAGAAGCTTTACCTATTACGCGCAAATCCATTGCGCAAACATCTGTGTACAATAGCTGTAACAGTGAAAGTACTGATAGTTTTTACAGTGCAACAGATACAATAGACGAAGAACTAGGTAAATTATTCACTTTTAAAAAAGATAAGGGTATCATTTATATATATTAACACGAATGATAATGAGAAATTAAATTAATTTCTAAAACATCTTACATATTCAGGTATATATTTCCGTAATATATATTATTATAAATAGAAAATGTAGTGATAACTTAACAATATTGTAATACTACATTATTTATCTTCTATAAAATAAATAATCAAATGCAATCTTTTATTATTTCAATATTGAATTAATTAATAATGTATTTATAAATAATTTATGCCGATTATACACTAATTTTAAATTATTAAATAATGTTTTTAAAATATATTTATACAATTTATTGTTTAATAATCTTGTTAAATTATGCATGCGTTTAGAGATAAAATTGTTTATCTTCAAAAGGAAAAAAAATAATATAAATGATAATATGAAGGGACAATTATTGATCGACTTTTGATAATTTCTATTTCCAACAATAATTTGAAAGACTTGAAATAAAAAAAAAGATGTTTATTGACTACATTATTACGTAAACCATTTGATCTTATATTTTTGAAGAACATAAGCATGTAAATAAAAATAATATTTGATAAATCATATATAAAATTTATAATAATTTATTAGAAAATGAAGATGAAAATCAGCAAATATTTAGTCAATATTCGTCACAACTTGATAACCATCAATGGCGAGAAACATTTGTTCAGAGATTAAAAGATGTTTTAAAACACGAAAATTCAACCACTGGTACAAAGTCTACAAGCGAATCTGCAAGCGACAGTAGTTACGCAGTTGGAATCAGTATTGCCGGAAGTCAAGTGGGCGATCAAAATATCAAGTTTGTAAAATAATTATTTATTGTCGTAATACATTTTTTAGATTTCAAATAAATATTTTACATTGATAAATAATATATACACTCTTCAATATAAACACATACTTTATATAATTTACATACTATTGATTATATTTATGTTTTATATTAATTTAAATCAATATACTTTTATAATAGTTGTATTTTTATCGTTTATTTTAAATAACAAACAATTACTTACAGCCAAAGAAAAAGTTAATTTATATAAATTAGTAATTTTTCATACATAAAATTTAACGAATTCGTATATTATTAATTTGATAAACTTATTATTTCTATGTTTTCTGAATAATTCAAATTCCAGATAAAAATTTAATTGAAATGTAGAAATAAATCAAGGTTATACGCATATTATTGATTTTATTATATTATAGTATTATCGTGTTACAAAAAAAAAACAAGTAATTCACTATTTATTATTGTGATAATTGATTATAGAATAAAAAGAGGTGGATCAAGAGGTTTCGTACTTAGAAATGAAACTGTTGATGAAGAATTCTTAAAAGAATCTCTGGAAGTTGAACGAAAATGGTTGGGTAGATTTCGTCAAAATCAGCTAACTATGATTAATCGAAAAGAGACTGGTATTAATAGTAGAAACAGTTTTAGCACGGACTACAGTTCAGGTAAGTTATTATTTTAAAAAAATTATAAGAAAAATAAATATTAAATTTTAATAACTAATTGTTAATTATAAATAAAAATAAAATCATTTGAAAATTAGATCAAGTTATAATAATTAATTATTAAGAAATCCATATTTATTTAAATACATTCTGTTCATAGTTAATATCAATAGTAATAAAATACTCTTGAAAATGAACTATTTAAGACTAACTAATATTCCTAATAAACATTCTTTCATAAAATAATACAACTATCATTAAATATATTATTATACAATATATTTGTATAATCTATCCTTTTATAAAAAATTGAAACAATATGTAAAATTTAAAAAATAATTTTAGCCTCATTAATAAATTAAAATTCAGTACTTGCTTAAATTTTAGTAAATAAATCTAATAAATGTAGCGGGTAATTGAGTACCTGTGTATATATATATATATTGCGTACGGAAAAAAATGAACGTATCGTACATAATAAAATGAAATTTTTTAATTATATAAGGTAAAGTATGACTTTACTATTTAAAAATTTATAAATGGGATTCTGACTTCTATTTTTTAAATAAAAAATTATGTTTACAATAAAAAAAATTATCTTTTATTTATATTATTTAATCAATTTGTATTAATTATTGCAAGTAGAAACATTTGAACAAAAATTAAAAAAAAATTGTCGCTACGAAGAAACTATAGAGATAATATTTAACTAGATAAAGTAAATAAAATAATGAATTTTATATTTTCATTGAAAACAGAATTTTGTTCCGAGCTAGAAGAAGTATATGAACAGCTTTCTAAATGGTTGGAAGATCCAATCCTGCTAAACAGTGAAAACCGTGAGCTGAATGCTCGAGATAAAGCCGTGGTAACGTTCGCCAGTTCACTGTTAAAAAGAGCACTGAGTGAGTCATTTGCTGGGGTACCTGTACAGGAAGGGGAACCACAACCTTTTTTCAACGCAAGTGACGCCCATCAACGGCATAAGTTAGCTTTGGTTGTGAGAAGTCTCAGCCTTGAATTAGCTCGACAAAAAAGTAGACAGCAATCATCGGTAAGTCCAAGATGATTATACGAGACATAGTTTTAAAATGTTTAACAATTAAGAAGATTCAACTATTAAATTATTGTTTTAATCTGGTTTCTCTTACAGACAATATAATTATTAAACCTATATGAGTATCTTGTTGAAAGTATGAAGAACATTTTTATATTTTTTCAAAATATTTATTTACATTTGTTTTATATTAAATTATTTGAATTTTAAATCTACTAATTTATTTTGCTATTTATTAAATATTGCAACAATTAAATCATATTAACTTAAACTATAAATTCAATTCTGTGGCAAAACAGTTTTTCAAGCATTTCTGTAGTTATAAATATATTTAATAAATAAATTTAAATTGATAATAATAATTTATATAACAATGTATAAATGTTGTAAATATAGTTATAAAACGTATCTTCACTTAATTTCAAATATGGACTTCGATATATAATTCACATATTTTTTTCTTTTAGAAGTATACTTATAAGAATACTTACTAAAATTTTCAGGGATTCTCGAATAGAACTTCAATCTTATTAAAGATATATTGTATTCTATGAAAACAAACATCTGTTACATTAAGTATTCAAACTCTTATTTCAAAATAAAAAATACAATACAATAAGCAAAATATTTAATTTATTAATACATTTATAAAAATTAATAGATTAATATATATATATATATATATATATATATATATATATATATATATATATATATTATATATAAATATATATTTTTTGAATGTTATTTTAATGAAACAATTTATAGCTCCATTAAATAAGCTTCTTAATAATCCAATGTAATGAGAAACAGCCATAAAATATATTAATTGAATTTTTATAGAAAAAACAAAATATTTTTATATGTTGCAAAAAATTTTAATGTGAATTTTATATCTATAATATTTTTATAAAATTATAGTTACAATATTGAAATTTTTAAAATTTTTAATTTTAATATACTTCTTATCTATAATTTTGAATTATTAAAAAGTAATGAAAATATACTGCATACAATCAATCAGTTTTATTTATTTTCTTTGATACTTTATTTTTATTATTTGAATTCAGTATTAATACTTTTACAAATCAACTATATAAAAATTTAAAATTAAATAAATGTATATATGTAAATATTATTTATAAATAAGAATGATGTTTTATTTGATTATAGTTTTATAGTTTAAAATTCTAAACATTATATCGATTTATTTCAGTAATAAAAAAAGACAATATTTAAGAAATAATTATTATGCACTTATTGTAAAAGTAATATTTTGAAGAGAAATATTAAACAATATTCGAATATTTTGGGTAAACAACTACATATTGCTTTTCAATTCTTTTTAGATTTAAATTATAATATAATTTTCGAAAATTTAATTAATTGACAAATGAGATAAGATTGTATTTCTTCAGAACCCTAAACTTTAAAAATGAAAAGAAAAAAACTGCAATTATTTTACTTTCAAAGGCGATAAATACCGAACAAAATAAAAAAAGTATCCAATCCATATAAAATAGAAATGAAATGTTTGTTGTTTGTATTTTTATAATTTTATATAGATATAAATATTTTGTAATTGTCATTTAAAATTGTTTGAAATAATTAATACTTTTTAGCTACCGTATTGTAAATTAAATAAAAAAAATTATTTCTTGTTCTATCAACAAAATTATTTGTCATTAAGATACCAAAACTAGATCATAAATTAGTCTTGAAATTTAATCAAGGTGTAATTTAATTATAACTAAATTTCTTTAATTAAATTGAATATAATTTAACTTGATTTCCGCAATATAATGCTTAAAAATAAATTGTAGTTATATTTTGAAGTATTATGGATTTAAAGAAATTTAGATTTTAAAAGCATGTTTAGAATCTGATTTAAAGATGAACATTATATTATATTTTAAATTGTATATTTATTAACAATAAATATTTCAAATTGAATATTAAGTATGAAAATAAAAATTGTTTTCATCGTGTTACAGTTAATAAAAACATTCTAAATGGCGGTTATATTTTGAAAGCTTGACAATAATGTTGAATTACTTTTTCGAATTTGTGTATATGGTTTGCGTCACGTAATGCAAATGGTGCGTACATGTAGATCTCACGTGAAAGCAGCCCCCAAATCGGTGATCTATTACCAGTAGCAACTGGCAATTGGGGTTGTGGTTCTCGATTAAAAGGCGATCCCCAGTTGAAACTCATTGTTCAGTGGCTTGCTGCATCTATAGCTGGAGTTCCTCGGTTAATATATTATACCTTCAGCCACTCCAAACTCACTAAAGTTGGTTTTTTACTTTTTATTATTTAATTTTATTTTATTTTTGAATAATTATAGTTTGTTAATTTTTACGCAGTTTTATTCAAATTTTTATAAAAAAATTATAATAAACAAAACTTTCTAACATTTTTTCGCAATCATTTATTAATAATAATAATTTGAACTTAAATTTGATTAAACGTATTTTATATTTAAATAATTTAGTTTTTTAACATAATTTAAGTAAAAAAAAAAACTTTATAAGATGCATTACGTATTGAATATTATATTGTTTAATATTATAATAAATTTATAATGTTATAAAATAATAAATAAATTTGATTATAATAAACTTTTCAAGTATAAATGAATGTTTTTTAATATTCAAATTTGAAATAAAAAATTAAATTTTTGAAGATAACAGATTGAAATTATTGATGTAGATTTTAATTCATAACAACCTGTACATTAAAAATATTAGTATTGTATAAAATTCATAAATTAGAGTAAATTTCAGACTTAAAATATTTAATAATAAAAATTCTGGATACAACAAATGAAAAACAAATTAATACTATTTTTCAGCTGGATACGGTGAGTCGAGTTCTTACGGATCGCCAATGGTCTGTTGGAGATCTCGCTGCAGCAACATTGAGATTCTCTCTTCAGACTATTGAAGAAACACTTGAAGGCTCAAACAGTCTCTTCGAAGAACTTATAGGCATAGATAAACCAAGCTTTTAACTCAAGCATTTAACAGTTGTCCAATTCAGTAAACATACTACCTACTACAATCGATCGGATATAGTCTTATTTAGAACAATTTCTAAAATCAATGAATAATGATATGAAAGTGAATTAATTATTCAATGGTGAATTATTCAATGTGATTAAACAAATTAATTATTCAAAGTGAAATTCAATTATAATTTTAGGGATATAAAACACTCGTGTTTAAAGAGTATTTATATAAACAAAAAGAGAGATCAAAAAATTTTTAAAAGATGTGTAAATTTTTTATGTACTTTTCTATTACAATAGCACGTTTAACTATAAAGAACATATAGATAATGTTATTTTGTTGATAAAATTTCAAATTATTTAAAGTTATTTATTATCTTGTAATAAAGGATCTAACAATAAAATTTAATATACTATTAAATATATATTTTTATCAAGTATACATATTTTATATTAATAATTTGAACAAGTATTATATTTTTTTAATAAACTTATTCATTACAATCCACATTAAAACTAATCATACATATTTTGTTATTATAATTATTATACATATTTTCAATTTCGAATTATAAGAAATTGTTATATGTGAACATTTTTTATAAAAATTTGAAAACAAAAACTTTTTGACTTTATTTTTTTATTTATATATACTTAATAACAATACAATATATAATAGTTTATTATTTTAAAAAAACAATATTTTCTTTACAGATTTTTAATAGAAATATTTAAACCATTTGTTATTACCTATTTAGGCGTTTGCGCATACACGTAAATCTTAAAAAAAGCAACTTTGTTTTAATATGTTTGAAATACATATAAAACTAATTATCTATGAAATTTTATCAAATTTAATCAAATTCTTGGAATATATATTTATGTTTACTTAAGACTGATAATAAAAAAAAAAAAAATTAAAATGCCTATTTATATATAATTGATATTATATATTTGTACATGTAAAATTTTTTTTAATTACGTATTTAATAATTTTAAAAACACTAAATGTATTAAATCTGTAAGTTAATATATGTAAAATATACATATGTAAGCACAAGTAAATACCGTATATAAATACAAGTAAGTACCATAAAAAATTCTAACTCGAAAAGTGCAAGTTTCTATATATGATAGATGACCTATGATGATGTAAGTAAAGAAACAAAACTAAATCACTTGAAATAAAACTATCTTAATTATTCATTATATTACTTGTAGTCAAAATATCTAAGTTTGAATACGAATAATTTTTTAATGAAATACATAATTTTAAAAGATATTTAAAAATTATATTACGAACTAACTAATCATTGAAAAATGTTTGATGTTTTTATATAGCTTTATAACATGGTAAAACTAGCATTGATATCTGTTCTAAAAAAATTAATTGTCTTAAAAAGGTCTTAAAAACAATTAATTCAAAAAATGAAATGTGTATAAAATAAATTATTTTTTATAAATATAGATATTAAACTTCAAAATTAAATGTAATACATTTTTAACCTTACTATCTATCATACATATATATCTACAATTATGTATATTATTTTTTATATAGTAATATTAAAATGTAAATCTTACATTAAAAAAATCATTCATTACATATTTATGTATAAAAAAATTTTTATATATATCATTTTACACATATGATATTTATATATATTTTTCATATATATGAATTTAAAATATTGATTTTGGTATTATATATTCAAATAAATTTCATCGATATGTTTAAATTTATATTTTTATTTTTATTGTAAAAAAACTTTTATAATTGATTTAATAAAAATAGATTTTCCGAAATTTAAAAATATCTGTATTTAATTCAGAGTATCAATATTAAATTGAAAATAAATTAAATAAAACACATTTATCAATTTGATTAGCAGTATACACTTACTAGATTTTTATAGTATGTATTGTAGATTATATTTGATTATTACATATACGAAATTTATATTCTTTTAAATAATTAAAATATCCTTTTCTTTTTTTTCATTTATGATATATAATATTTTTTTATTATATTTCATGTTTTTAATTCAACCATTTTCAGATTAATTTGTTTAATGATTAATTCCTTTAATTCATTTTTATTTTAATGTATTCAAATGCATTTTATAATTGAGTATTTCTTATTAAATTAAAATAATTATTCGAAAATCAATGAATTTCTAATATAACATTTTATAAAATATAAATAATCTAAAAGCAAAAATATGAAATCTAATTTATATGGGTTTAACAAAAAATTGGAATTAAATATTGAATTGAATTCAAATTGGTATGGTTCTTTTGAAGTTATCAAATATGCTAATTAAAATGAAATCTAATATAAAATGATTAATACAATGTATTTAATACTATATATATTGTGTTTTCCTTTTATGTATATATTAATTTAATATAATTAAATTAAGAGTTAAAAACATGCAAAGAATAAACAAAATATAATTTTGATAATTTCTTCATGAATTATTGTTTTTAAAAATAATTTATTTTTATAATTACAAAAGTTTTTGAACAATAAATCACAGCTTTTATTAGATATCACAAATTAATAGTTTCTTTTGTTTGTGATGTTTTATAATTGTATAAATTTATGTATCAATGATATTTTTAAAGTATTTAATTTCTTTCATATTTACATTCCGTGGTGTATATTACTGATTAAATCTAATTAAATGTTTGGTAAATAATAATATGGTATTAATTTTGTTTTAAAAGAACTTAACTTAATTACCTGATTTATAAGAATACAATTAGTAAGAACAATTGAATAGTTGAACTAAATAAACTAAATCCTATTAATCATTTAAAAAAAGAGACTTCGTACACGTCGTGCAACACCTTGTCGATCATATAAAATATTAAATTTGTGTACAAATTGATTTGTATCATTACAACCTTTGGTGATGATTCCAAGATATGTCATAAGACCAAAATCGTTACATTGCTGTGAAAAAATAATAATAAATATTACTATTAATAAAAAAAAATAAAAAGATATTTATTATATCTTTTTTATATTATTAAATTGAAATTGTGTTCAAGCATTTATAATATATCAAAACAGTTTATAATTTAAATGTAAATTGTTACCTGAAATGAAAATCTATAAAACAAAATTTTAAATTTCATAGATCAAAAAACTTACATTATAAAAATCAGCTTTAAACTTTGGATTATTTAAAACAGGTAAACGATGACTTAGTGAACAAGCAGCTCTTAGTACTTCATGATTTCCTTTCAATTCTCCATTTTGAACAGCTTCTACATATCTCAATACTAATCTTACTCTGGAGTGTAACATCTTTATCGCACTATGCTGTGCCACTAAATGTTCTGCAACTATTATGATTTTAATTTATTTAAAAGCTATTTAAAGATAAAACTTATGTATACAGCGATACTTTATCAATGAATGGAAATAAATTTTTTATTTTTAAAAATTAATTTTCAAATTAACACATAATTTTCTCAACATCAAATTGTTATATTTTTCATTATAAATTAGACAATTTAAATAAAAATAAAATTTTATTTACTTTATAAAAATATCTTAATAATCATTATAATAAATAAATGAATCACTACCTAACGAACTTTCTCCTTGATCATTAGTACACATTCTTGCAACGTGATCAACACCAATCCTTTCTGCCTCTTCAGTAGCTAATGTATAAGTCAATGGAACAAATAACATTGTGGCTTCACCATTAACTAAATCTATAACTGATTCATATATAGATACTGGTAGTTGCTAAAGGTAAATAACTATTATACTTTAAAGAATATTATTAAAATAATAATAGATACAACATTATTCACACTTACATCTGTACTTTTCGGACGTGGATCAAGTTTTAATACAACAGGACTTTCATTAATTTCACAAATTTGTTTATGAACCTTAATATCTTTTTCATTTGGCATGCTACCTGTTGTATACCACCCAAGAAAATCCATTTCACTGAATACTTGTTTAAATTGTTCTTCTTTAGTGTTATAATAATCTCTATCAATTATAACATCATCTCCAATACATGTAAACAACAGTTCAAAGGAATTCATAATCTCTATATTGCGACCTTTCTGTTTTCCAATTAGTGCACCATATACTAAAGCAAATAAAATATTTTAAATGCTTAACTCTGGCAATATAATTACAAATTATAAAAATAAAAGTACGTATTGTATAAAACATATTTGTTATACAATATTTAATATTTTAGAGCTATTAAGAGTAGTAATATTTATTAATTCAAAAAATTTTAATATTTATTTGCAGTGATTATTTATAAAGACTGATTTTTTAATATCACTATTAAGTATAAATTTTAAAATTTTTCAAATTATAAAAACTTTATCGAGAATGTACAATTGAATGAATTTATGGTTATTTATAATGTAATACATATTATATTGTATAAGTTATTAAAAAATATTATATTGAAACATAAATTTCATTTAATTATTATAAACTTATTGATGTGAAAATTTGTAAAATTTAGTATTCAAACCATTAATTAATAAAATAATTTAAACAAAATATATATATTTAATGTTTTATATATTATAAATATACAAGCAAGTAATTTACTTACCAAATTGATCACTGCCTTCTTGAGCTCTAAGCCTGGTCCAGTGTTCACTAACATTCATAATTACTAGTGGATGTAAACTAATAGATACAGAACCAACTGTACCAGAAGATGCCATAACCCTTGCAGCACTGTTACTTTGACTGCTTATGGCGTTAGAAATAATACCTGGCAAAGTTCTAATTGTACTAGCTTCAACTTCTGGTTGAACTATTTCCATCGTTGTCTCCTGAGCTTCAGATACTTCACCAGCTAATACAAGTACTCCCATATTAGTCTGATCAACATCCATTTCGCTTGACTGTTGCTTTCCTTCACTCATGTTAGTAAGAACAATTATTGGGAGGTTTAAATTTAGGATATACAGAATGGCGCTTTTGTCTGATTGGATATACTTATTTATTTCTATAATGTTCGCACTTTCACAAAATGTTTTACAATCTCAGTAAAATAAATAGATTCTTTGTAAAATAAATAGATATATCAAATGACTTTCTTTTCACTAATAAACTTTCTTAAATTATCATATAAACACATATATAGACTTACACTAACTTATAATTATTAGGTGGTTATTATAAAGTTAAGGTAAAATAATAAACAGTATATTTATAATTTATAGCCAGCAGAATAAACGGTATAAGCACGGATAATGGAAATTGAAATAGTTATAAACATATTGGGCACAGTTTAAAATTTTATTATATAAAAAAGTTGAAGATTATGCTCTAGAATATTTCAAAAAAAAATTTGGAAACTGGCTCATTCGGAAATATTATATGAAAATGAAATATTTAATTAATAAGCATTTCAAGATTATTTAAATTATTCTATTAATAATTTCTGGCTTAATTTTGTAGATATAATATTCTAGGTTGATTTACTGCCTAGCAAGTATTACTCTATATAATAAATACAGATCGAATTTTATTGGCTTTTGTAATTGCGCGAAATTTAGATATAAAATTCTATAAAATATGCCAGTAACATACAATAAGAGTATTAGTAATAATTTATTTTTTAACAGTTTTGAAGAAAATTACATTTTTACGTTGATCAAATTAAAATAAATGTTTTATATTTAATTTTGTTAAAAAGAAAAAGTAGCAATATATGTATCAAACAATGTAATACTAAAATGAAAAATATTGATTAAAATAACACTGATTCACAAAATGACAGAATATTTATAATTGAATTTGAATTGTTGCATTTTTGAAAACATAAACCCAAGAAAAACAATAAATAAATTTTTTATATTTAATATTATTAATTTAAAATATAATATATTCTATTATGTAATATGTGCAAGCGATAGATGAGAGTATTCTTATTATCTTATTATCTTAAGAGAAACGATAAACCATGGATTTTCTAATATCACTTTTAAACCTTCTTTCCCTTATTTCTTTCCAATATATTATCAATAAACATAAAAGCAATGCAGATATATTCTTAACTTTCCAACAAATATACTTTTACTTAATAAGAAATACAAGTTCTTTATCCAGTACTTTATTATTTACAATAGAAAATATTGTATATTAAAAGGGTTATTTTACAATTTGAAAATAAATATACTTTATAAAATATCACATTCTTTAAATTCTTTTCAAAATTAAAAAAGATCTCTCAGTCTTTTTATTAATAATAAAAACTATTTTAATATACTAATTTAAAAATTTCGAATTGTATAATTTATTAAAAGATCTATATTTGAAAATAATATTATAATAATATTCTTTTTTTCTTGTTATTTGGTATGTATCGCATATTGTGACATACAAGCTACGTCTTATATAATGGTACCTATATCCTTTGGTTGAAAAACCTACACCAATACCTATACCAATCCTATATCAATATTTCTGAAGTGATGGACATAATGTCTTAAAATCTTTATTAAAAATACCATAACTTGAGAAAGAATTAAATTAAGTACATCTTACTATAAAGTAGATAACTCTTTTACTTTAATCTTGCATCTAACTACTCCGTGAGTATCAAGCATGAATCACTTACAATTTGAAATAACACGATCGTACTGATAAAGCATTATCTCATAAGATTGTCTCTCGTAATTAATTTTTTAATCAGTGTCTTTTTAATCAGGTTGTTTAATGTTTTTTCTACCCTTTCTATGTGTATCTTATTCAAGATCTCAGTACGTCTAGTTGCGTAAGTTACGTTACAATTGTAAAAGATAAGCGAGTGATTTAGTAATAAGAGTAATTTAGTTATGATTTTAATTCTTTTTAAGGTTTATCAAATAATACAATTTATTAAAAGCAATTAATTATAAACATAAAATATACTATATTAATTTTTTTTAATATGATAAACATACTTAATAAAATAATACCTTAAAGATAACACTATAATGATTTAATATTTTAATTCGAACAGAGATAATGGAATGTAACAGTAATAAATAAACAATATGTACTTTTATTTATATGAAAGTTTTATACTTATGTACTTATATTTATATAAAAGTTGTACACTTATATACTTTTATTTATATGAAAGTAAATAGTAAATAACTTATTGTGATATAGTAAGCAATACATAAAAGTAATTCATATTGATTATACAGCGTTTTAGAACATTTTAAACACCAATTCTCAATATATTTGATGATTTAAACAAAAAGTTTAGGTTACAGTATGAACTACTTTAATAAACCAATCGTTACCTAGATTTTAATTAATTTTATTATTTACTACACTAATATATATAAATTTAATATTTAAATTCTAAATTTATTTAATTTACAAATACATATTTGAATTTACAATTAAGTATATAAAAACTATAAGAATAAATACAGAATAATAGTTAATGATACTTAAATTTATTCAAATTTATTTAAATAATCAAAACATTAAGGTACTATAAAATTTCTCATTTTATTTCAAATAAAAGACAAAAATGGTGAAACATTTATATTTGTTAAACAGTTATTATTATTTACTGCATAGTAAATTTAGAAAGTATACTTCACATAAATCGGACAAAGATAGTATTCAGCGAAAATACTGTGTGCTGTATTTAATTAAACCGAACATGGTACATAATTTGTATTAAATAACAAATAATGTTACCTCTAACAACATGCGCCGTCGATACAAAATTTGAAATTTTATGTTAATAGAATAATACTGAATTTCTTAAGAAATACTTTTATCATTTAAACGATTTCGGACCTCATTCGGTAGAATTGTGTACAATACATTCAGTAATTTTAACCAAGTACTTTTTTTATATTTATTATTTTTATTTATAAAAATGTATTTAAAAAATAGTATTGAATTTAGAATTTAATAAATGAACAGCTAATTTAATTGAACATGTAATTTATTGTAGTAAATATTAATTAACATTAATATAAAATATCTTTATACAAAAATCATGTGGAATCGGAAATTCAAATATAAATGTTCTTAAAGTTATTTCAAATTAGTTTTAAATGAAAAAATAAAAATTTCAATTTTAGCTATAGACCAAAACATTAAACGTTATGATTATTTTACAAAAGGCAAAGAGCTAAAACTCATAGAAGGTAATCAGCGATTTTCTATATTGACATAATTATATGGATTATGCATATATTTACAAAAATATGTAACTTACTTTACACGTGTAATGTAAACACACGCAGCATGCATTGTATGCTTTGTGTAAAAATAATACATATTATATATAACGTAATTCATATTTTGCTATCATTTTCAGCTGTTTGTAAATTTGTTACCTTTAAAATTTCAATGTTTCATTTTTGTTATATTCAAAGCGTAAAAAAGCAAAAGAAGATAATTAATTATAACTGTTGACTTACAGTTTTTTGTTATTAAAAAACCACACAGATATTTTTCTACTGTCAAAAGTAAATATAAAAAAATTGTGAAAATGTTAAAGGACGTTTGTTAAAGAATAATAATTCGTCATTTTTTGAGGTCAGTTAATGTAAAAAATTATTAGATACGTTTTTCATTGGCGCCTAGTCGTGAAAATCATTTTATAGGTTAATTCGTGCATAAAAAAGCCGGATAATCATTTGATAAAGTAGAAGTATTAAAATACTGAAGTTTCTAAATAAATAAAAGCATTAAAAAATCTATGAAATTTGTTTTCTCCCTGTTTTTTTGAAAGTTAAAAAAATTTATTTATACATTTTAGAAGGTTATCTATAATTTCTCTGTATAATTACATAAAAACAAGAAAATGATAGAAAAAGTAGTAAAAACCATTCTGCAGGATTATCCTAAAAATATAAAATTCTGTTTCGCTTATGGATCTGGAGTATTTAAACAAAAAGTTGATTCATTTAATAATATGCTGGATCTTATATTTGTTGTCCATAATCCTTGTCAGTGGCATTTTGAAAATATAAATAAAAATCCAACACATTATGCCCAACCTTTACGATTTTTTGGTCATAAAGTCATTACTAAAGTACAGGAATCAGGAGGAGCTAAAGTATATTATAACACACTTATCAAAACATCTGAAGGACGAAATATTAAATATGGAGTCATTTCAGAAATTTCATTGGTAGAAGATTTGTTAGATTGGAATGTATTATATTTATCTGGACGCTTACATAAACCAGTGCAGGTTATTATAGAACCAGATGAAAAATCTCAATTAAGAACTGCTTTAGTACAAAATTTACATTCAGCTATTCATGCAACATTAATTTTATTACCAGAACATTTTAGTGAAATTGAATTTTATAAAACTATTGTTGGATTATCATATAATGGAGATTTTCGTATGATTTTTGGAGAAGACAAAAATAAGATAAATAATATTGTTTGGCCACAATTAAATAAATTTAAAGAGCTTTATTCTCCAATATTAAAATATTTTGATCAATATATAGATATCCCAAAAAATAATTATAATGATATTTGTTATCAGGATATTAGTCCAGAAGCAAAAATATATCATTTAAATAAGTTACCAAGAGTTCCTCAGATTAAATTGATTCAAATTTGGTCACAAGGTCAGAAATCTAAGGATATTGAAGATTGTTTGAGAGCTATTGCACATGATCCTGATTCTAGTGAAATTTTGGACCAATGTCTTCGAAATATTGTGTGTAAATCTAGTATTTTTCAAAGTCTTAAAGGAATTATAACAGCAGGTTTTATTAAATCTGTACAATATAGTAATAGAAAGATAATGAAAATGATAAAATCAACAAAACAAAGAGAGAAGTTTCTCCCTCATATATGTGATAAAAACTTCAATAAAAGTGACTTACACATAAAATCTGTAATAAAAACTGAAATTGAAAGTAGTAGTTCAGACAAGCGAATAAAACAATAAAATCATATTTTTTATTTGTTATAACTGTTTGTTGTCATTTATAATTAAATAAAGGATAGTGTACTGCTAAATTATAAAGTTTTTATTTAAAATGAACTGTATTTATCAGAAGTTCTTTCTATTTGTATCAATTAAAAATTAATATATAATAGAATGTTTCTTATATAATCATTCATTAAAATAATTTTAATACAATCGGACAGAAGTAATATTGGTAAAATTTTTTAAATATTATGTATATCATTTATAAATTCTTTATTAATTATTTCATTAAATTTATAAATTATATTAATGCCAAGAAATTAATTTGAATAAAATATATTGTACAAGTTCTTTTGTATGTAAAATTAAATATATTTATTTCTTAAAATATAAGAATATTCATTATGCTATTAAATCGAACAAAAAAGGCTAATTTATAAAACTAAAATGCCAAATAGTTTTTATTTTCAGAATCCAACAGATTAATCTTAAAAAATGGATACAGATTCAGAAAGTCAAGATAGTGATGAAGGACGACGATTTCGTTTTGAAACGACTCGAAAAGATGCGATTTCAGTATCACAATCTCAACGAAAAGTGTTTTTACAATCACCACAACGTAGCAAAAATATGAAACATTGGGCACATTCTAAAAATAGAAATTCTCGAAAGGAAAGATCTAAATATTCAAAAGATAATCTTGTACAAAAAAATCGATCATCAAATGATAGAATCACAAATAGTAAATATTCAATAAAAGATATAAGGTTAAAGGATATAAAGAATAGTAGTAGAGATTCAAGTTCGAAGAGAGAACATAATGATTCTCGTAATTATGGCGCAAAAGATTTTCGAAGTTACGATTCAAGGGAAATAAAAGACAGCAAGAATTATAGTAATGATAAACATAAAAGTAAGTCACGAGACAAACACAAAAAACGGTCTAAAAATAAGAGTCGAGAAAAAAGTGATCAAATTACATCTGAAAATATTTCAAAAAAAGAAGACAAAAAGAATAGCATTGATACTTCTTTCATTTCCATGGAAACAGAAGAAGTTGAAGTTAAGAAAACAAAAATAACTAAAAAAAAGTGTATGGAAGATAATATAAACAAAGTTAGTAAATCAGATATTATGATGAATCTAACATCTACTGTAGGAAATACTACAGTACATCCTAAAAAACTGAAATCATTTTTTGACAGAATTATTCATAAACAAAATCATGATGCTAACAGTTCATTTTATGGTCCTACATTATCTTTAGAATTAGAAAAAAAATTTATTAATGCTAATGATATTGAAATTCCTATAAAAAATATAGAGAAAACGAAATTACCTCTATATTCTGTACCAAATTATAATCAAAATGTAATTGAGCCAGTTTTGTCTAAAAATCATAGACAATCATCACCAATAACAAATAATAGTATTGGCACTGATAAAGAAAAAAAAACAAAAAAAATAGAAAAATATGAAATAGATACATATAATCTTGAAAAACAAGAGATAGAAACATTTGGTCCAGTTTTACCTCCACACATGGAAAAACATAGAGTAATTGAATCAGTATTACTTGAAAATATAATTTCTAGTGATAATAAAGTTATAGATACGCCTTTGAGATCTAATATTGAAGATGACGAAACATTTGGTCCTCTACCTGTTGATCATCCTGCCATTCGAAAAAGTTATATTCAAATCCAACTTGAGCAAAGAGCAAAACAGGTTAAGGCTAAAATCAAAGATAAAGTAAGAAATAAATTTCTTATCTGTGTTTTTTAGATTATTTAATATTTTTCTATGTAAACTTTTAATGCAATAATTTAGTTTATTTTAATAGATGGCTACATTAAATTAATGACATTTATTAAAAAAATTTTATATCTACAAAAATGATAAAAATAATAAATTGCGAACAATACTGTACTAATAATAATGCACATAATTTATTATTATATCTTTTTCAAAAAATAAATTTATGTAAAACTATAAGTATAATTTTATTAACAGAATGTAGTATTTATCAATAAATCAATTATTTTATACACATTCAATAACAAAAGTAATATATATATATATATATATATATATATATATTTATTAAAAATCGTTTGCTTTAAGCTGGTTAACATTCGTAATATTATTTAAACGTAATAAAAAAGTTAATAAAAAACATAATTAAATATAAAATATAATTATTTTGAAGATTAGTTCAGAAAAAAGAAAACGAGAGGAATGGATGGTTGAACTACCACCAACACATGCAATTGCTTTAAGCTTTGAATCAAGGTCTCGTAAATTTAAAATGAATGAAGGTTCAGATTTATCTGATCGATCAATGTGGACAGATACACCAGTAGACAAATATTTTAAACAAACAGAAAAGGTAATATTTTTACATTGTAATCAGTAAAGAAGGCCATACAATAATTTCTAACACTTTAAAAAGATTTTTAATAAATCCTTATTTATTATAATTTTTTATTTAATGAAAATTTAGGAAATTTTAAAATTAAAATAATTCATTTAATCTAATCATATTATAATATTTTATAAAAGATTAATTTTCATTAACATAAATTTTTTAATAGAAAGAACCCCTATTTGTTAAATCTGAAGAGTCAAATAACAAGTTAAACAAATGCAAATATGAAGATGTAATAAAAGAATCTGTTAAACAAGTAAAATGTGAATCATTATTAGATATGCATTTGAAATCATTGAAACGAAAGAAAAAGGTAATTTATAAATCACTGCATAAAGAAGTTATAAATTAATTAAAACAATAATAAATTCTTTAATTGAAATTAATTTTTGGTAATTGTTTTTTAAATTAATCCAATTTAATTTTATGTTTTATATATCGTCATTGTAATTATAGAATATTGAAATAAAAAAAAAATTAGTGTTTTTTAAATTTTAGTTTAATTAAGTTTGATGTAATAATTAAAATCAATGTCAACTAAGTCTTCATTTGAATCTATTAAAAAATCTTCCATTTATTTTTATACTTTGTTTTAGAAATTAGAAAAGGAAGCAAAAGAATTCGGATTATCAACGCGAAGACCTTTTGATCGAGATATTGATTTACAAATGAATCGTTTGAATGATGCAAGGAAGAAAAATATTTTTGAAAAGGCTAGTTGTTTTAATGAGAGATTTACACCTGGAAAAATTTAATTTGTACATTACAGATAAATTAATTGTAAATTTAAAGTTTAAGATTAGAAAATAGTAAAATAGACACATTTTACATTTTTAATTAAATTTTTCCTTTTTATAGGCTTTTTTTCTAAGCAAATAATATTGCATAGAAGAATTGTAAAACAAAAGCTTAAATATTTTAATTTAAATAATGAATTAAAATATTTTTGATTTATTATTAATCAGTATATAATTTCATTTTTCATAACCTACTTAACTCTGTATATGTTCAGTTTAAATATAAATACAGTGGTACAAATACTCAATCAGCTTTTCCTGTAGGTTGTTTCTTGTTAATATTACTTGTACATTGTAAATTTTGAAATAAACATGAAGCTTATTAAATAAAGTTTATACAAATACTTGTTTATTCAATTAAAAAATGTTATTAAAATTAGTTTTATGTTGTTTGTTACTAAATATATATTTTTTTAAGGTAATTTTATTTTATTTATTTGTATTTAATTTTTATTTTATATTATAAAATTATTTTAATAAAACATACTATTTTCTGTTTTTGCAAAAACATTGCATTTTCTATTTTATTTAATTAATTTTATTAAACTTCTATATAATCATATGCGAATCTTTCATTCAATTTAATTTTAAATAATTTAAAAAAGATTTCAAACTTATAATTTTTATTTATTTGTAACAAATTTATTTTTTGCAAATCACCCATACATGCATGATTACAAAACTTCTTTATTTTATTTGAGATTTTATATGTTGAAGAAATTCGTAGTAACTCAATGCATTTTCAAACCTATCTTCAATTAATCGTTCTGTAAATTGTGTTCTAAAGCAACTGTCATCTCGAATTATCTGTAGCGTTGCAAAATATGGTTTCTTCTCTTGAAGACTAGCAATGAAAGTCCTCAGTCTTTGCGACTCTGGAGTTGCCAATTCTGGTAGTTCATACATTTCCTCTGGTATAGCTGTAAAAGTGTCAATTCCAAATATATTGTAATAAAATGAAGGATGAATATTTTTTCCAATATAGAGAAACATTTGGTCTCCAGCATCCAATAAAAATGCTCCTCTAGAGTCTAATTTTTCAGCTGAAAGATGCAATCTTTCAGGATGTGGATTAAGTTGTCCATCTATTTCAGTGATGATCTTTGTTACATAGATATGCACTGGATATAAATCAGGATAAATCAGCTGTATAAGTTGAGTTAATGGTAAACTTTTTAACTGACACATGATATAAACGCGATCATCCAGTCTTGTATTTACTCCAAATCTGAAGGCACGACACTTCAGCAAAGCAATTATATATACAGGCAGCAGCTTCAGATTTTGTGGAGCTACTAAACCACTACCTGGATATGACTGTAAAAGTTTGTATGAGGATAACACATCTACAGCTGCATTTATCAAAGCATCCCTGGCATCAGATAGTGAGGATTGCACTGATTTGTCAACTGCCATTTTTGCTAATAGTCCAATTATACATTGTTGATCTGCTGAATAAAGTATATCTGATAGATTTGAAGAGATAGGAAGGCATAAAGTGTGAACTCTGATTCTCCTTTCGCCTGTGCTAGATGTATACAACAAGGCAACTTGAAAAGCAACGTTTTGCATATCTGATAGATTTTCCTCTATTGACACTTGCATTCCAAAGCCTGCATCTGGATTAATATTTGGTAAACTTAATAAATCAGTTGACCGAACAAAAAAATTACCATGGTAAGTATGAATAGTTAATCCACGTGTACATCTTATTCTCATAACAGCCTCAAAACCAATTCTGCGTGTAAGATAACGCCGTAAAATTTTCTCTAAGATCTCAATATGATGAATTTTTGATGCTTGAAATAAAGGTAAATAATGAATACTTCCTCCAGAAAATTTACAAATACCTGATAATGTAGCTAGATCACTATATTGACAATTCATCAGAAATAAATCAACAGCTATTTGTTGACCACTGCAATCTAAAGCTAACCGTTTATAAAAATCTGTAGCAGGATTTAAGTAAGGAATATCTTTTCCTGATCTTGTGTTTGGATCTTCACGAGCTTGCAGTGCACCTGGACCTATATTAGGTAAACATAATTGAAATACAGTGATTCTACCACCAGTTGGTGACATGAGTTTGAGAGCAGCTTGAAGAGCAGCACCTAAAGCACAATTAGTATCATTATTGTCTTTAAACATATTTGGCAACTGACTTAATAAATCTTTTAGAAGCTCCTCCCGTTCCTTTAAATTAACAATTAAATTTTCTGGACACGGTAGGAAAATATCATCAACATCCAACATTATTAGTTGATGTGGCTGAGACACGTTATCTTGCATGCTAAAAAAGTGAATTGCCGAATTAACTGCTAAGAATCCAATTTGGGTTCTACTATCACCAGGAAGTCTCGACATTTCTTCAGATATAATATTACATACAATAGATAAGTAACCACTTTCAACAGCTAATCGTGATACATCAAATATGAAAAGATATACAGCAGGTTGCGGTGGACGTAACATGTATTCGCTTGGTGCAATAAATTCAATAGTACTTGTTCGTATCTCAGGTCTTCGAGATGGATCTCCGTAAGATTTTGTAGCAGGATCAAAAAGGAATTCTTCAGGAAGTTCATTAACTTTATAACATAAATTACATTTCCATCTTTTAGAATCTACAAAGTAAACAAAAGGATTTATGTATGTTCTACATAATCGACAACGGACAATTGTATTACTTTGTATTGTAGATATAGAATTTAAATCTTTAAAGGGATGTATAAGTATGCCTAATGGTAAACGTGATTTTTGTAATAAAGAATTTGAATCAGGAATTTTTGTTAATGTACATCGGAAAATTTCAGAACTGCAATTAACTCGATCCAAAAGATCTTGATGTAATTTTATTCTTGGTGGAGAAACTTTTTCAAATGGTAAGACATTTCGACATTGTAAAAGATCGACAGAGTCCATACCCCAAATTTTATTAAAACCAGCTTTTGTAACAGACATATTTGGTTGATCCACCACATTATTGTAGAAGTTGAAGTTAGTGTAATTTGGTGATTTCATATCTAATAATCGATTTGTTGTTGAATTAACTTGTGAAATTCTAGGTGGAATAGAATTAGTTGAATATTCAGTTTTATGTTCAAATGAAGATATTCTTCCTGAAAGATTTACATTTTGAAATTGTTGAGATAATGCATCTGTTGCATCTGATCTTTTTAAAATTGGACCACTATTTAACACATTTCCACTATTGTTTAAAATTAATATATCACTATTTGTAGGTTTATGATTATTTAATAAAGGCTCACCACTGTTTAATAATATTTCTTTAATATTTACCAAAGGCTTATTACTGTTTAATATAGGTCTACTAATATTTAATATATTTCCACTATTATTTAATACAGGTCTAGTATTATATAATAAATTGCCCCTATTTGATATAGATCCGTTGTTACTCAATACAGGTTCACCACTACTAAATATTGATCTATCACTTTTATATATAGATCCACTAATATTTGATAAAGATTCAACACTATTTAAACATTTACTCTCTGTAACAATTTCATTATAAACTGTACAGTTTTTACCAGGATGGAATGATTCCCCGCCAACAAAATTAGATTCATTAGGTAGTAAATCATCTTTTTGATTCATTGAATAAAAATTTTGTGAAACAGTTCTAAATAATAAAAAATTACCTTTTATGAATGATCAAGAGGTTATTTTCTAATTATTCTGAAACAGCAAATATAAATATCTTTAAATATATTTACAAAATATGAAAATTAATACGTAAATGTTACCTTTTTACAAATTAGTAATTTTATCTAATCACAACTATAATAAAAAATAAAATATATATTATATGATTTAAGTATAAATTTCTTCTAAAGTAAAAAATAATTTTTTAATTGTATTGACTTAAGCTTAATACCAAATTGTTTTTTTTTGTTTATTAAGCATTAATTTCAAATTGGCTGCATTAATTTCTTTCTTTTCTTAATAATTTTTTCCATTGTAAATTTTAACCCTAAAGGTGTGTCTGCAACATCCGTTATCTAACCTTTATACGTCAATGAACATAATCATCATTGACAGATCCCGCATTTAAAGAAAATTTCAATGGTCATATATATCATTGTATCTACGCTGCGGAACGAATGATCGAACATTTTTACCATCGCAATTTCTAATAGCAAGCATTAATTACAATTATATTAATTGTAATTTTATTTCATTCTGTTTATCGCGTAATTATTTTTTTAGGTGCTTAGTATATAATTAGTTATTCATAATAAAATAAAAATTTCAATAAAAATATATATTACCTTCGATAATTTTATATACATAAAATATAATATATTATATTATAATATATGGAATAGTTTGTAAGTTTTTTCAATAAATATAGGCTAATAGACAATTCAAATATGTGAAAATTTCATGATGTAGAATATGTACTATATGTAAGATACTGTTAAATATACATTGATAAGAGGATTAATAGAATCATTAGAATAATTTAAAAAATTAAAAAGATAAACACAAATTTTTATACAAAATTTGTGCAATTAATTAAAAATAATTTTAACCAAAATATTTAAAAATATTAATTAAGAATATTAAAGAAAAAACGGTTTGATACATTATCAATTTAATAAATTATCATAAGAAATTATATATTCATTCATATTTTTATAAAAATAAAAAATTAAATATACTAACGAAGTTTATTTTTTAAATATTCTACAATAAACAACAATTAATCCCATAATACATATACAATATAATTGTATAAAAAATACAAATTAATATATATATTACAATACAATTAATAAAAAAAATATATAAAAAATAAATTAAGGTAAATTAAAAAAAAGCATTGCAGATGGCGTCGACATAAGTTTCAGTTTCAACTAATTTTGCTTTCGGAATTGGTGATATATAGTTTTGTAAAAAAAGGCGCAAGGCAAGAACGTAATGTAAAAATAATTTAACAATTATAAAGTGGATATGCATTAGTAAAGTGTATACTGCTTATTAAAAAAAAGTTCTCGAAATTCAAACGCTTCTTTGAAACTTACCATATAAATTTGTGATATTCATGAAATGCTGTGATTTTCTGTGTCAACATTATTGCGAAGTTACAAATCGCGATCACAGTAAAAGCGCCACAAAAATTGACAAAATGTATAGTGTCCATATTTCCATAAAGTTTTCATTTTCCTATTTATCATTAAATTTAAGTACTTGAACAACTGAAAACAGTTTCGTTTATAGTGAATGAGGTTATCAAATTTGCATAATCGAAAACAGAAATCCAGTTATTTAAATAAATATAATATGTAATATACCAGGATACAATCATGAATTTTTATACAAGATTTTTCGTTTTTATATGAGAGAGAATTTTCATTAGTAGGTATATGTGTAAATTTAAAAACAATTCATGAAACAATATAGAATTTTTTGACTCATTTTAAAATAAAAGATGATCTTAGATGACTTGTTCGAATTTTTTTATCTTTTATTAGACAATGTACTTAATTAACTTCAATTTTTGTGAAAATTCTTTTAATTACACCGTAATCTTTATATTACTAATATTCTAAAATAAAAAACAATTGTTTATAGATTTAATATATGAATATCAATATATGAGTGTATAATTTATTTGTCTGTTTAATCTATAGCAAAATAGATATAATATATAATTATTTTTCTTTGTTGTTTGTATATATAATTTAATACATAATTTAATGCGGAATTTTCCTTTTCTTACTTGACTCGTATGATAAGATAAAATTTAAATGTTAACTATCAACCATATGTCATATTACAAAGAATTTCGATGATTGAACATTACACAATTATAAATAATTTATATTTTTATTAACCAACTTCATTTCTTTTAATATATTTTTAATTAAAATGTATAAACTTAAGTTCGATATATTTTTATTATAGATATATATCATTTAATATTTATTAAATTGTTAATAATTTGAAGGTTATATAATAAAATACAACTTCATTTTTTTAATTGATTTATTTTTAATATAAATTTTATAATTTTAAAGAATGAAAGAGTTTTATTAATAGATACTATAAATATTATGTTTAAAATAATTAATAATTTGCTCAATTGTAGGTATTTTAAAATACATATATCAATCAATTTGTTAATAATCTTAATAATATAATTACCTTACATAATATCTTAGATATTACATAATATTTAAGTGTTAAATATTAAATTTAAATTAATTTTAAAATAAAATATAAATATAAAGTAGGTGAAATGGTAACTTAAAATTAAATTTTTATTTTTTATTACAAAATAAGATAAAATTTGATCAAATATCAATAATTCTTTATTTTGTATCTAATATTTTTGTCCAATAATAATGAATTATTAGATTTTTAAAAATCTATAATAAATACTAAATAGCTTATTTATTATATTGTAAAGTATATCTTATTTCAAACAAATTATTACTAAGGAACTAACTATTTTTAAATACTTTAAAAATATTAGTAAAAAATTGTATATTTTTTGAAAATATCTTTATTCTTAACATAAAATTATGGTTGATTATTGATATTATCTCTGTTATTTTATTACATTATATTCCAGTATAAAATATGTAATTCACGGAGTAAAATATTTTTATTATGACATTAGTTTGAAAGTATAATGTTGTATTTCATTTAAATCAATTATGTATTTTCAATCAGTTTCAATAAGTTTAAAAAATAATTTTATTATTAACTATGTAGTTCAGAAGCGTAAGAAAACTTGGTGATCATACCTTTTTGATTACAGAAATAATAATTTTAATCATATTTTAAATCAATTTTGAATATCCTGATAAATATGGTTACAAAATTAGATATTGATAAGTATTGTCATATGTGATTGTATTTGTTATAGAAAAATCAACTGGTGTATCCAAAAAAAATTCTGTATATATTATTATACTCCATGATTTTGTTTACTTTTCATTAATTTAGAATCATTTCACTAGTGATATTTAATGTTATAAAAAATTAAAAAAATTGTTTTTGCTTTGTCTAAATTATTTTATTTTGTCAAATATTTTTCAAAAAACGAAACATGAGTTTATTTCATTCAATGTATTCGATCAATTTAAACATCTTGTCTATAATTGAATACTATCAATTATTTATCATTCAAATTTTATTAAAATAATATTACAAAACTGCTATTAGATGTTAACTGATCGTGATAGTGTTTTATAAAATCACATTCAAAATGTGAGTAAATTTTTGAGTTGCATTTTTTTAAAATAAATATAAGTCTGAATAATATAAATAATTATAAATAATAAATATAGTTTAAAATATCAATAGTTATTGAATAATAATTTTAAAATAGTTTAAAATAAACATATACTTGTTATTCTTAATAAAATTAGTTATATATATTATCTTCTCATTGAAATTTAATAACTACTTTTATTATCATTAATTGAAAGAAAGTTTTAAACATTAATTATAGTTAGATGATAGTTTCAGTTAATATTTTATTTATGTTATATATATAAGAATAATTTTTTAACGTGTTATTATTTTTATTCATAATTTCAGATAACGATAAACTGGTGCTGTTAAAACATTATTAAGTATAAGTAAAATTATAATATGTAATATGTAAAAATACTAAAATTCATAAATTAAAAATCTTAAAAAATTATAAACATTTAAGAACATATTAAAAAATGCTCAAATGTTTTAATAGATTAGTACAATTATGTTTTATGATAATTATTATTTATGCTGGCTGTGGAAAAACTGATATTTTAGTATTCTCTGCAAAAAATAGTCACAAAATAGAACAAGAATTTCGTGATATACCTGCAAGATTTGGTGATATTATACCAACAGAAGGAATTAAAGTAAGTTTGTTAATTAAACAATTTATTTAAATTTAAATATAAAAATTTAAAAATGTTGACCCTTTATTAGTACAATTGTTTTTAATTTATTTTACAGTTTTAAATTAAAAAATTTTTTTTGATACACATTAAATCTTACATTCTATATAATTTATTTTTGGTAAGTTATATATTATATTACTTTTTAGGGTTTAGTTATTTATTCCAATCCTTCCACAGCATGTCAGGATATAAAAACTCCACCAAATAGAACTGAATATTCTAGCTACAACTGGATAGTATTAATTGCCAGGTTGAATTGTAGTTTTGAAATTAAAGTTAGAAATGCCCAAAAAGCTGGTTATAATGCTGTAATTGTACATAATGTTAATAGTAATGATTTAGGTAAAAAAAACAATATATTCTTATAATTCTAATAATTTAATGAAATCAATTTTATTTCATTTAGAGGAAATGTAAATAATTTGATTGCATTTTAGAGCCAATGTCAGTTAAAGATTCAACAAATATAAGTATTCCATCAGTATTTGTTAGTGAATTTACTGGCTCATTTCTCAAAGATGTTTATTCCTATGAGGAAGGATACTTTGTTCTTATTAATGATCTTCCACTCAATTTCAACACTCATCTTTTATTACCATTTGCTATTGTTGTTGGCATTTGTTTTTTAGTCATAGTTATTTTTTTGGTAAGATTATTGTTATACATAATACAATATTTTATTAATTTGTAAGCCCGTTTTAAATATTTTATGTATCTTTTTTATATATAATCTCTATTTTAGACTAAATTTTCAAACTTCAAAATTCCTATTAAATATATAATTAAGAATATATCCTATAGAATATAAATTATTGAATATATCTATATAATTATAATTTATATTATATGAAACAATTTATGAAAGTATTTTCTAATATTGTGATCCTTATTTAAGATATTATTTATTAATATTTATATAGATTTTTATCTGTTTATTTTTAATTAATTTATTTTATTGTCTCTTTTAAAATTTGTTTCAGTTCAGTTTAAATATTCCTATAATAAAAGTTATGATTTCTAAAATTAGTAAATTGAATTAAATTGTTAATATAAATTAATTGTATGAATGAATATATTTAAGTAAGAGATCAAATTAATTTAAGTAAGATCAAAATAAAAAGTCTAAAATATTGTTCATATTTATAAGATAATATTTTTGAAATTCGAAACATACATTGAAAAATTTTAAATAAATGATTTTATCATTTATATTAAATAACAATGAGAATTGAGTTTTAGAAAAAGAATGTTATTATACATTTATACTTATAATTATTATTTATTGATTAGTAATAAAAATTAAGAAATAGAATGTATAATAAACAATATAATTTTCAGATTGTTAAGTGTATTAAAGATAGACGTAGACAGCAGAGACATCGATTACCATATTCAAGCTTGAAAAAAATTCCAACGCACAAATATACAAAAGGTGATCCATATGAAACATGCGCCATTTGCTTAGAAGATTACGTAGAGAATGAAAAATTACGAGTTCTTCCATGTGCACATGGTAAATGTGTTCTGTAATTTACTAAAAAATAAGTTATATCTATAATTAAAATAATTGAATTGTGATACAATTAACAAAATATTTAAAATGTACTAAATATTTAAATATGAAATTAGTCTTGTTAAATAAAATAATTTATTTTAAATAATTTTAAATAAATAATGTTACACTTTCTGATTTCATAAATTAATATCTTACCTTACAGCATATCATACAAAATGCATCGATCCTTGGTTGACGAAGAATCGTCGTGTTTGTCCTGTCTGCAAGCGCAAGGTTTTTGCTGCTGATGAACGTATTGAGACAGATTCTGAAAGTGACTCGGACGTTGATGACTCAACACCTCTTATACGCGATGGTACTCGATCCGGAACACAAGGTGGAACCTTTGCTCATCAACCAGAAAATCCTTTCTGGAGACATTTACACTTAAATCAACAACATCATCAGAGGCATGATTCTCAAAGCTCTAACAGCAGCTATTATTCAACGGATCGACCAGTTCTCAACGTAATTGAAAGTGGACAAACTGAAACAGAGGTAGATGCTGACAGCACAAATAATATTGATGCCACATCATGGACAGTCTTTCTTGTTTCAGATTCTCATAGTATAAACGGTGAGCATTTTCTGTTAATAATTTCTTAAATAATTTCTATTTTCATATAAATTGTTTAAATAATGAAGAGCGTGGTGATTTTTATATCTTTAAAGCTTTTATAAACAATGATAATATTTATCAATTCGTAATACAAAACCATGATCTTATACTTCAATTATGTATAATTGATTAAATATTATTCAAAAAATTATTAAATTCAGTTTAGTTAAAATATTATACTTATATATATATATATATATTACAAAGATTTTATTTTTTATCAATAATACAATTTTTAATGTTCAAATGTTTTATTAGTATATTATATTATAAACCAAATACGTTTTATAAATAAGTTTGATTATAATATATTTAACATAATTTTTAAATTATAGAACGTGTAAAATTATATTTAGCTCATTACTTTTTCAGTGTAATATGTTTATGATTTACTACAGATAAATTCATAATTTTTAAAATATAATTTTATTTAATTTATCAATTAAATATATTAAATATGAAAAATTAATTCATTTAATTTACTAATAACGACAAATATTTCTTAAAAATTAAATTTTTCTATTAAATCAATAACTACCAAATATTATTTAATAGTTTTTTATTTCATTTGTAGGTCTTTGTATGAATTTTATGCTAATTTAAAAATATCACTTAATTTTTCTTAATGCGGTTTTCATTTATATCATTTATTTGTATTTTAATTTTAAGTTTTATAACATTTAACCATATTATTTCAACTTTACGTAGTTTTGCATGCTTTATTTATTATTATATATCATTATTTATAATTATAAACTAATAGTATTTTTGAAATTAATATAATTTTTAGATTAAGATTAAAGAAACTAAAATATTAATATTGTTCAATATCAGAAAATATTAAAAAGATTAATGATAAAATTTATTTTTATTATTTATATCCAATTTTATACAAATTTAAGTTTATATTTTCACATTTATCATGTAATTTATTTATTTCTTGAATTAAGTAACAAGAAAGTATATATTATTTATGATAAACTATTTAAATGGTTCCATAAAAAAATTAAAATTTTTAGTAGATTACTTAAAAATATTAATAATATACAGATATAAACGATCACTTTGTATTTCTTATATTTAAAATACTCTTCAATTATTTTAAAAATAAATCAATTTCTTTTATATATGTTAAAAAAAATCTTTCCTATGTAGGTGAGGTACCAGATATTGAAAAATCTGTTAGTAGTACTAATCCGTATACAGTGAATTTATCAACAGACGCTAATGAACATTGTGTTTCACATATCAACCATTGTCTGGTAGAACAACATGCAAGGACTGTTTCTAGACCTAATGTTATTGGTTCATTAGGACTATCTATGGTATCTCAAACATGTGAAGAAGCTGATATAATATAATTTTGTTTAAAATCTTCCTTTAAGGTAAGTTTTCATATTTGTATAAAATAATAATAAACCATCGATTAAAATAATAAAATGATGAAATCAACAAGAAACCAAATGATTGATACAGATGTCATTTTCAAGCAGTATTTTTAAGTATTTTTACTCTTCGTTTCAGTACATTTTTTATAAATTTTTATTTTTTATTTAAAAAATATTCTATTCCTGTATTCTTCTGCTGTTATAAAATAATATGTATTTAATATAATAAATTAATTCTGTAAGAAACATACAAATGCATTTAATAAAAATATATATTTTCGTTAAATATTAATTTAGTATTTAGTATAAATAACATTTAGTAATATTAATTTATTACTGCAAAGTTATATATAATAAAGTCTATATAATAAAGCTATATAGACTTATTTATGTTACAGGAAGGATTAGGTCTTTCATTCAATCACACAATATAAATAAATTAATCAATTGGATCAATTGGCATTTAATGACTTACAGGTCTGATATTCATTGACCAGATATGTCTTGTATCAAAAGGCATTCGGTGTATCTTATAAATTATGAGATCCAGAAAAAGAGACTGGAGTTTTGTATACTTCGAAATATAAAAATAAATTTTTATTATTTAAAAAGTTATGCAGAGCTGGGATAGTTACCAATCTGCAAAGCAAATATGTATCACGTAGTTTTTATTTTGCTTTCTTTTAAAGTGATATACCTACTTTACAGTACTATCGCATTTCACTTAATGTATAAACAATGAACGTTTTGAAAAATAATTGCGATAATTTGTTCGTATACTAATGTGATATTGATTGAGAATGTGAACATATTGTTGTAGTAACATGCAGGCTAAACTTTACAAGATTCTTTCTCATATTATTCTCATAAGAAGCAGAATAATTCTTTATCATATTATAAATATTAAAGATTAAGTTTGCTTACTATGTTTATAAGATGTTTTATTTGTTCCATATAAATAAACTTTTAATATAAATGCTTTATAAGACAAATAAATCTTATAAAAATATAAAATTCTTCAAGTGTATATAAAATTATTTACTGAAAGTAATAGAAATATTTTGTAATTATGATGAAAGTTAGGAAGTCAAATTTCATCATGAACATTATCAATTTTGGAAATAATTTTATAATTTCCCAAAACTCCTGACAGTTAATGAAATATTTATATCATATTTTTATTGTTTTTTTTTTAATTGTGAATACAAGTTATTTCAATTTAAGTTACCACGATAGTTATTTTAAAAGTTCATATTTATATATATTTATAATATTCATTATAATACTAATATTTACATAAACATTTCCTGAATAAATTTTAATATAAATAAGATTTTATTTAATAAATGAAATTATACAGAATCACATTTTAAAAGTTATTTATTATTAAATAAAATCATATAAGTATTGTATGTCAAAACAACGTTTTTAATAAAACAACTGGATAGAACTCATTACATAATATAATTTAAGGAAAATTGAAAATTAAATAAGATGGATATTTTAGAAAATTATCATCATAAATTAAAAAAATTAAATTACTATTTATTTCCAAAGTTTGAATGTTATTATTAATATAATTTTTATACTATTATTATACAGTTAAATAATTAAAATCTGACATATAAGCTAATAGAAGAACTTAATAAATTTAGTCGAATTTAACTATCATTTACGATATGAAAACATCTATTTGAATGTTACAATTTCATTCAAATATTTATTTTAATATCTTTAATTTTTTATTTTTCACAAACATTTCTTTTTATATATATATTTAATATTTAATTCTTCATAAATATAAGAATTATATGATAATTAACAAAATCTGATAGAATTAATTTCATGGTAATGTGATAGTTTAAAACCGTTAATAAATTTAGTTATAATTCTACAATCATTTAAGACTAAAAAAAATTTAACTATATACATATAACTTATCATTTACTTTGATATTAAATTCATATCCAATAATTATCCTAAAAATACTTTAATAATATTAAAATATTAAATTAATTTCATTTTTATAATAAAATATATAATTTATGTGTATATATACAACTCTTGGAAACAATATTAATTATTTCTATAATTGTATAGTATGATAAAATATGAATATACAATAATTAATGAATTCGTTGAAAATGTTGATTAATAATGATATTAATATATCTACGATTTGATATCAAATAAAAAAAAAATTTAATTACTTAAATATCACATTAATATTTAAAATATGAAGTATTGTAGTATGTTCTTCCACTTCACTTTGCATTTAATAATTATAACAAATCGAATTTAATACATTGCATTAAAAAAAAAATTTACATTAAAACATTACAATTTTTGAAAAATAAAGTTTTTGATATATAGTTCGATAATAATTTAATAAATTTTATGAACTCATAAAATGATTATAACACTGAAAAAATATTTTCTTAATTAATATTTAATAATATTGAGGATGTATAAATTTATTAAAAAATATATATATATTAAATTTAACATAGTAAAAATTACGTTGTAATATATATGTGCTTGTACACAGATATAAATCAAAAATATATTTATATATATAATGTATATATCATTTTTGATGATATAATAATTATATAATAATAATATATGATATGATAATACTATAATATTTAATTCTAAATATTATTTAAAATTTTCTTAAATACTTATTTATAAGTTATTTAAAAATCGGTCAATAAATAGCAAATTTTTCAACGATTTAACAAAATGTCATTATATTTCTTAAAATTAATTTAAAATTGGAATATCTTACTATCCTTTATAACACAAAACTTCTAATTTTTTATTTAAGGTTTTATTATATAATATAATATATAGTTTATAATAATAATATTTCAACTTATATATTAATTTATAAAAAAAATTTCATTTAAACAATTTGGTATAGTGCAGCTCCATAATTAATTACTTTGTTGATTATTAAAAAAAAACATAAGTACTAGAATAAAATGATCAATTTTTGCGTCATTTAATAAAAAATTAGGTAATTTAGATTGTTCTGATTATACGAGAAGTTTTATACTTTATTGCTAGTCAAATACATTATTAGAATTTTATTACATTAATTTTTAAAACGATCATTTATTAATTATTTTTATTATACTTGAAAAATTATGGAAAACAAATTTATTTTTAAAATAAAATAAAAAATACACAAAATAATGTAATTTGTCATCAATGATTTTTATTATATGAATATATTGTATAAATATATTGTACGAAATCTATCTAATTTATAATGTGGAATTGGAATAGATTAAGATAGCAAATTGATTATTTTATTTTATATTATTTAAAATTATAATTTTACAATCAAGAGTATTCCATTCAATTTTCGTGATCATTCTATTTGAACTAGCTAGTAGGAAGGTCGTAATCATCAGTCCTTTCGACGAAGAACGAATATTATTAAGAATTATTTGTTTATTCTTAGTGTTAAACATTAAATAATGATTAGTAATAGGAATGATTAATTATTATTTATTGCAAAAAGTTAGCTTAAATCAGTTTTAAGTGACATAATTAATTTACAAAATAATTATATATGTCGATAATTTGATAATTCATGAAGGTAATAGTGACTACTCTATATGATTGTTTAAAAAAAAGACCCTGCGATGTGATGTTAGCAAACATTTCAAGATGTAAACTAATAATTTTTGACAATAAATACATTTGAATATAAATACATTTAAATTGAAACAGTACAGGAATGTCTATATTAAACTTTAATTTTCCTTCTGAAGCTGATACAAAAAGTAAAAATTAACTGAATAAATTTGAACCTTGAAAGGACAAATTTTATGTAATTGTTATTTATATATTACATCATTTCAAATTTTACACGTATTTTTTATAAATGCTTTTTAAAATATCGATATGAAAACTTTTCAATTAACTATATTTAATTATTTAAATTTTTATTTTTAATATCATATGAAGAATATCGGATTTTGTGATAAAAATGAAAAATTTAATACTTGGTATCTCTTATTTGTCTAAAGTAATTAAAAAAAATTTTAATTAATTTTAGAAGATGTAAAAATGAAGTATTTTTATTTTTTTTTTGAGAGTTACAAAATATTACAAAAATATATTACATTGCTATCGATAATAAATTTAAATTTGAATACTGTATCTTCCAATTTTTATGAAACATGTTTTACATATACTTTGCTTTTGTTAATAAAAGTAATAATAATGTTACAGATTCTTTTAAAAATTCTTAAATAAAATTTTTTTGTTTAAGTTCATTCAACATTGAACTTTTAAAAAGCTTTTAATATAAATGCATTAATCTTCCTAAAAAATTTATTTTTTATATTATTTATAGTATAATACATTTTATAATTAAAGTATTGGATATGCAAAATTAACACAAATTAGTATTTATGAATGAAAATCTTTGAATAATTTAAAAAAAATTCTACTATTGCTTCTATTTTTAACTTAATTTTTAGTGTCTTATTGATAAAATAAAAAATTTATAAGAGAAGTATTTAATAAATAAATTTTATATTTTTAATATAAACAAAAACTACAATTATGAAAAAAGAATACCAAAATTTCTTAAAGTACATATAATGTATTATTATACATTATAGCTATAATTTATAATGAAGAGAATTTTAATCAACTTAAAAATTACAATTCTACATAAAAATTAAGTGTTTATTTCATTTACTAAAAGAAAAAATATGTTAAAATAACTATTTGGAATTTTTATGAAAATGAATTAATTCAATATCATATTAAAATATTCTCTGATTTATTTCTTTACTATACACATTATTTTTCATAAATAATTATAATTCATCTAAATAAAAGTTCATAATACTCATTATTATTAAATTTTCTAGAATCATATATTTAATTATGTGTTTATTTAATACATTTAATTTTTTTAATTAAGTAAACTGAAATAAATTTTTAATATTTAAAACTATTTTGAATTTTTATAAATACTTGGAATAATATATTATAATTATAGCTACGTAAGAATTAAAATATGTATTGAATATATAGATACAAACATCTAAAAATTAAATCTTATTCCTCAAAAATTTTATAATATCAAAATAAATATTATATTCGAACAGTAAAATATTTTTAATTATAAACATCAAACAATTATATATATATATATATATATTATATATTATATATTATATTCAATCATGTTTATAAGATGTTTTATTTGTTCCATATAAATAAACTTTTAATATAAATGCTTTATAAGACAAATAAATCTTATAAAAATATAAAATTCTTCAAGTGTATATAAAATTATTTACTGAAAGTAATAGAAATATTTTGTAATTATGATGAAAGTTAGGAAGTCAAATTTCATCATGAACATTATCAATTTTGGAAATAATTTTATAATTTCCCAAAACTCCTGACAGTTAATGAAATATTTATATCATATTTTTATTGTTTTTTTTTTAATTGTGAATACAAGTTATTTCAATTTAAGTTACCACGATAGTTATTTTAAAAGTTCATATTTATATATATTTATAATATTCATTATAATACTAATATTTACATAAACATTTCCTGAATAAATTTTAATATAAATAAGATTTTATTTAATAAATGAAATTATACAGAATCACATTTTAAAAGTTATTTATTATTAAATAAAATCATATAAGTATTGTATGTCAAAACAACGTTTTTAATAAAACAACTGGATAGAACTCATTACATAATATAATTTAAGGAAAATTGAAAATTAAATAAGATGGATATTTTAGAAAATTATCATCATAAATTAAAAAAATTAAATTACTATTTATTTCCAAAGTTTGAATGTTATTATTAATATAATTTTTATACTATTATTATACAGTTAAATAATTAAAATCTGACATATAAGCTAATAGA